AGGGGAAGGGTGGTCCAAATTCGAAAGTCCCCCGGGCCTCTACTTGAGGGGGGCCCCCAAAGGCGTGTCCGAAATTTTTTTTACATTAAATAATGTCGAATGTCAAAATGCAGGGGCCCCTAAAGAGGCCAAGCCCCCCCCCCCGGGCCCCCAAATCCCTAGCTACGCCACTGGGAGTGGGGGGTAATTATGGAAGATAATTAAAATGAAGCCTCTCACCCCATATATGACGCCCCTCACTGCCATATTTGAAGCCCCCCACTCCCCTATATTACGCCCCTCCCCCGGGCCTCTACTTGGGGGGGGCCCCCAAAGGCGGGTCCGAAATTTTTTTTAAATTAAATAATGTCGAATGTCAAAATGCAGGGGCCCCTAAAGAGGCCAAGCCCCCCCCCCCCGGGCCCCCAAATCCCTAGCTACGCCACTGGGAGTGGGGGGTAATTATGTAAGATAATTAAAATGAAGCCTCTCACTCCATATATGACGCCCCTCACTGCCATATTTGAAGCCCCTCACTCCCATATATGACGCCCCTCTCTCCCATATTTGAAGCCCCTAACTCCCATATATGTTGTTCGTCCGTCGAGGATCGACGATGACCATCGAGTCGTCCGATGACTGATGACTTGCGCTAGTGACTTTTGTTTAAAGTGAGGAAGAGTTGCGGGGCGTCAACCTCACTCTCTCGTCCGGGCCCACCATATCCAGTGGCAAGACTCTGCGTCAAGACGACCAGGGATGGGTATGGTTGCATGAATTTTCATTGTATGCGCCTTACGGGACTCCAAACCCGGGTTTGAATTCAGAGTTTCCTTCTCTTGGATGAGTTGCCGACCAAGGTTAACGAGTCTCATCCACCTGGAGTGATGTTTTTGCTTGACTGGCCTTTGGCTGGAAATGAGGTTTGCTTAGTTTAGACCTTTCGGCCACCCAGTCACCCAAAATATGACTCCCCTCACGCCCCTCACTCCCATATATGACGCCCCTCACTCCCATATATGACGCCAATCACTCCCATATATGACGCCAATTACTCCCATATATGACGCCCCTTACTCCCATATATGACGCCAATCACTCCCATATATGACGCCCCTCACTCCCATATATGACGCCCCTTACTCCCATATATGACGCCCCTCACTCCCATATATGACGCCCCTCACTCCCATATATGACGCCACTCACTCCCATATATGACGCCCCTCACTCCCATATATGACGCCCCTTACTCCCATATATGACGCCCCTCACTCCCATATATGACGCCCCTCACTCCCATATATGACGCCAATCACTCCCATATATGACGCCCCTCACTCCCATATATGATGCCCCTCACTCTTAGATCGATTCATCATTCAGAAGAATAAATTAGTCCACCCTTACCTGATGCATAGAAATGTTCAAAATTGGCGGCAGCAAATTTAAACTGCTAAGTCATAGGGTACGTTGAATTTATCAAATCACTATCTATTAGTGTACTTTACTACGTCTGATGTATGTATCACCGGTAGCACTATTTATTATTTATTGATATTAAATTTGTGAAAAATACATGAAACTACTCTAACTAGTCTTAAGTTAAACAAGTGATAAAATGAAATAAATGAGTGTTTTAATCAACGTTTATTGGTGTGCAGTAGAGCGTGGATTTACGAACTCATTGAGACCGGAGTGGTTCGGATAACAGACCACTCCAATCATGGGCGCCCGCAAGAAAACTTTCTGGAGGGGGGGGGGGCAAACAATTTTTAGTAACGTTTTAATGTAGTTTTAATTTACTGTAGCGTATTTGTATGGTGAACGAATGGACAGGGTATTGAAATAAATGAGTGTTTTAATCAACGTTTATTGGTGTGCAGTAGAGCGTGGATTTACGAACTAATTGAGACCGGAGTGGTTCGGATAACAGACCACTCCAATCATGGGCGCCCGCAAGAAAACTTTCTGGAGGGGGGGGGGGGCAAACAATTTTTAGTAACGTTTTAATGTAGTTTTAATTTACTGTAGCGTATTTGTATGGTGAACGAATGGACAGGGTATCAGCTTAGTTACTTTCTCTTTATTTTCTCTTTACTTTAATACATTTTTTTCCTTTTTTTGTCTAAAAATTTTTTATCCAATCAATCCAGGGGGGGGGGTGGCAAGTGCCCCTTCCCCCCCCCTGCGGGCGCCCATGACTCCAATGGAAATCATCAGTGGCACTGCAGCCCATGAAAGGCCCTGTCCTGCTCCACCACATACTTCTATGGAGACATCATCATCAGTGGCGCTACAGCCCATGTAGGACCCAGCCCTGCTGCACCACATCCTTCCCTTTGGATCGATCCATGGCTTTCATGCGTGAACCACCCACACCCCCACCTTTCTTTTTTGCGGTACAAGTCCTTCTCTACATCGTCGATCCATCCCAGTCTTGGCCGACCTGTGAGCCGTCTGCCCCTAGTTTTCTAGCCGTAGATCACTTTTGCTGCTCTACAATCCGACATCCTATCAATATGTCCTGTCCAGCTCAATCTGCCTATTTTATTGTTGCGACTATGGGGTGGCTTTTTTGTAAAATTGATCTATCTCTTGGTTTGTGCGGATTCTCCAACCATCATTGTCTACCACCGGAATGTATATTTTCCACTCCGTTAAAATCGCTAGTGCATAGAGTGAATACAGTAATACCTTATTGTTTGTCAGTGTTTAAATGCGCCATGCATGGGTTACGTACTCCCCGAGGCGGGAGGAGAGCGGTAGAATGAGTACATACAGTCAAAATGGACCTGGACGCGCATCGCCGCCATTCGCACCTGGGTCCCATTAGACTCAATGCTATTCGGATGTCATTTGTGGTAGTTTATTTTATTTAAACTGAAGAATTAAGTTTACAAACATATAGTCCATTCAATTATCTTTCATTTGATACCTCATTTTGTCTTACAAACCCAACAATAATATTTGAAATAGTCTTTTAATCCCAACCTCTCACTTCTGGTACCCAGGTGTGAATAGCCACTTCGTGTCTGTAACGTACTTTATAAGATCCCCATTTGGTGCTATTTGTTGATTTCTAAATTGTTACGTGGAGAATTATGTATTATTTTACACAGAGGTTCTCAAGTAACCAGGGGTGACACTGGGGGTCGCAGTTCCATGCTGTACGGCAAAAATTATATATTTTTATTTGCTAGTGCTTTATTGCGTGCAATTTTATAAGCACCAGGTGTTTTTGTGATGAATGTTTGTGTGTGAACCATTTATTGTACAAGCAATAAAAAATCTAGCACGTTCCGCTGCCACAGCTGGATTATGTTCATATGTCTTGTATTATGGGTGAGGGTGCGGAGACCCAGCTTAAATGATGACTAAAGGATGATAAATGAAGGACTGCTTTTGATTCAAGCTTCCACATACCTTGCTCTACTATTTCATTGAGGGTGACTTCGTCCTATCCCTTTTTAAGTCATAATTTTGTAGATATAAATTTAAACAGATGTGTTCTTTTTTTTTTTTTTGTGGTTTTTAAAAAGTATTTTCATGGTCTTTTTTTTTTGGGCGGGGGGGGGGGGGTTCTTTTTTGTTCGAACGCACAGGGGTCGATGCCCAAAAACGTACCCGGAAATTTTATCGAAAGAAATTCGTCGCATGACTTCGTCCTATCCCTTTTTAAGTCATAATTTTGTAGATATAAATTTAAACAGATGTGTTCTTTTTTTTTTTTTGTGGTTTTTAAAAAGTATTTTCATGGTCTTTTTTTTTGGGGCGGGGAGGGGGGGATTCTTTTTTGTTCGAACGCACAGGGGTCGATGCCCAAAAACGTACCCGGAAATTTGATCGAAAGAAATTCGTCGCAGTAAATTGATCGACGGTAAATTGATCGACGGTAATTTGAACGAACGGAAATTTGATCTAACCTTTTTTTCTTCAGTTTTTACGCATTATTTTGTTTGACTTTATCGTAGAGTGCGTTCAAAAAAAATTTGACGAAAATTTTAACGCGTGAACTGAAAATAAAAATCGACAAATTTCCGTTCGATGAAATTTCCGTCGATCAATTTACCGTCGACGAAATTTCTTTCGATCAAATTTCTGGTAACCGTCCAAAAATGTACGGGAAGGTGGACATGAAAATGTGATATTTTTTTTTCCACCTACTAAATATAGGGCTGGATGTCTCCTAACCACAACGCACGGTAGGCCTTTTTCCACTATCCTTTTTTATATGCAGATTGTGGTAGCCTACATATAAATTAAAGGACTGCATTCAAGCCTTGTAAATTAATTAAATAGCAAAACGAGGTATGTGGATGACAAAATACTCTTAAAAACTTTGATATCATTTGCAATTGCAGATTTTTTTCTGTTTCGTGAACATACGTGTTTTTTTTGTTTGTTTTTTTTTAAACTATTCTGCAGAAGCAAGAAACCACATGTATCTTGTAATCAAATCTAAAACTCTCTCGCTATTACAGACTTTTCAATTTGAGTTTAATATGTTAAGCTTTTCGCAAATTAAAATGAAAATATTAATTACCATTTCATCATTCGGATGTGCACTAAAAAATTAATAATAGAAAATGTAGTTTCTTAGAAAATTGAAAACAATACAAATTTAGATTACTGAATACCATTTAACATTTATTAAGGCGCGGCATTTTTTCTTCTTTGCACCAAACTAAGGCCGATTTTTTCGCTTCAAACATCTTTGCACAGTAGCTCATCTTTTACGGACATCATAAAGTTCTTACTGACTTTCATGGACACGATATAACTCAACTTTGTAAGGACTGTCCGAAAAATCTACGGTCGTATGTCAACCCTGCCGTTGATTGAAAAAGGGGAGCCTGGTATTTAGTAATTCGACTTTAGAACCTTGGACAATTGTAAAAATAAGTGGTGTCAAAGGTGACATTCTGTTTTAAAAATAGTTAAAATATAAATGTATGCATAGCAAATGTTTGCTATTTTCACAGGGAAAAAACAATAACTTCCGTTGTCACTCAGCCCAGCCCACTACATTTTCGGATTTTCATGTTGATATCCAAACTAAAAACACAATGCCATTTATAATGTATTTCACCATACACTAGTTGGCTTAATTTGAAATATTGATTGTGATTTTATATAAGATATTAATTTTACTTAATCATTATTTATAAAGTCAACATTGTCATGCCCATTACATTGCTACAACTACAAAAAACAAATGATTTGATGACAATGTTGCATATTATCTAGACTCAAGTCAAATGTAGTAACATTAATCATTAATTAACCACTGCTAAAGTACTACAGAATAATATGAATGACTATGATTGAACAATAACATCCACCTATTTTTTTGCATTGACTACTACTAGCTAGGTCTAGCCACCTGACTAGTACTCAGTAGCGTTAAAGCAGTCTACTAGCAGCACCTGCTAATTCAAGAACCTGTATGTATAAATAATTCATTCAGTAAGTTGTGAGTGCTCACCCACCAGAGCCAGGGCTTCTACTTGACTGTGCTAGAATCAGTTTAAGTAGTCATTGACATTACTAAGCAAATTAACACAAAGCGGAAGCAGTAGAAATGTCCTGGGCTAGTGAATTAGCAGGCGAGTTGGTATGTCGACCTTTGGGACTGGTAGCCTTAACAGGGTTAGATACCACATACAATGCTGTTCACAAAGCAATTTGGGATTCATTTTGTAATAATCGACGTTCTGATCGAGTTCCCCTGCAGTTCAAAGTTTGCAAAGCAGATCATGAATATCCAAAGTGCAAACAAAAGGTAAACATTTCATGCAATGCTCAATAATAGTAGTGGTTGACATAAATAGTAATAGTAATATTAAGCTGATACAGATACTACTTAAAGGCCTAATCATAAAATTTATAACCCTATTCTCTACTCCACTCTGGCTATATACTATATAAACTAAAGGCATATTTCTTGTGATTTTTTAAAACACTCGAATGATGAATTTCCATCAATTCAATATTATTGATAATTATTAGTAAGTGGTGATTAAAATACTATCAATAGACACTTTTTAATATTTAAATTAGAATAAACTTAATATAATGCAGTCATTTAAAATTCTACTCTTATTTATATATTTGTTTCAGAGGACTTCTTATGAATGGTATATTCCAAAAGGCATACTGAAAACATACTGGATGCACAAGCATTTACAGGAAATACCAGCTGTTGTTGTGATTTTCTTTGATTTGGACTGGGATGAGCCACTGTGGAGAGAAAGACAGATGGAGTGTGCAACTCGTCTTGAAATTGTAAGGTGGGGAAAATTTTCATCGGAAATTCTTAAATAATACCAATACATCATTAAAAATGCATTTATATTGAATAAAGAGATTTAAGTATATCAAAATTTAAACGTTAACTTTTATATCCAAGCCACAATTTCCACCAGGTATTTATCACATATTTATTATCTAATCTCTGCTAATTTCTTTCTTTAAAATCAGAAATAGCCTTCAAGGTCGGAACACAAAAATAGCAGTTGTGCTCATACAGAAAAATGCACCTCTACCTCCAGGTATGAAAAGATGAAAGAATGTATAACCATAGCTCCAGAACAAGTGAAAATACTTCAAAACTTTAAAAATAGATCTTTCTTAATAAAATTTGAGTTGTGCAATAATTATCATATTAGTTTAAGTGCCATATATTTTCAAATGTTCCGATTAATTTCAAGGGGAAGACCTTATGGCTGCAGAGAGAGCAGTTTCTCTTTGTACTTCATGTGAAATCTCAGCAAAGTCATTGTATGTGTTACCCCATACAGATCACTTAATAGGCTACACTATGAGGTAAGTGTCAAACCTCTAAACCTGTATGGCTTTACCATAATTTAGAAATCATTTCTGCAATGTGTGCTCATATAAATAATAATAATTGCTGAAGTGCTGTATTATATTCACTAAATTATTTTATTCATATTTGCTTCACGCTATATTATCTTTTCACCTTGGCAGCTGTTTTGATGTTTTTCAAAGAAAGTTGTAAAAATTATCAGACAATTTAATTTCATAAATCACTAAGCATGATTAATTTTCTATTTCTCTTTATTTTCCTTTTTAGCTCCCAGTGGGGTATAGGCTATTAAAAATTTCTCTTCAAGCCTTCCAGTCTCTAGCTATCATCTCTAAATCTGTCCAACTTTTTTCAACCTTTTCTACATCTTTGTTGACATCTCTTCTCCAGGTGTTTTTTTGGGTCTTCCTTGTCCTCTTGATCTCTGAGGGTTCCATACCAGTGCTTGTCTTGTTATATTTGGCATGGATTTTCTCATGGTATGACCTATCCATCTCTATCTGACATGATTCATAATTGCTTTCAGGTTGGAGAATGCTTTCTATGAACAAGCACAAGCTTATTACCACCAAGAAGCTAGGAAAGTGAAGTCTCACAAAGATTTTTTGAATAAAACAACACATCAGGTAAACTGAAAGTAATAGTATGATTATTTTATTGCTAAAAATTTCTTTAAATGAGTCTAAATATTTCATAAATGTATTTTATTTTAATGTAATGATTATGTCTCTTTTGAGAAAATTTTTATGTACAGGGCGGTGAGCCCAGCCCTATGCTATATAAGACCTCTTCTTCTTCTTCTTATTATTATTATTATAAAGGCAGTTATGCATAATATTTTTTTGTTTGTTTTTTTTAAAAATAAGGCAAGTTGTATATAAAAAAACAAAAACTCTTTTTCAGCTGTTGTTTGTCAGACATCAGTTTAAAAGTGCTTTCTTCAATGAATTGAAGCAAGATTCCCATACAGCCATCAAGTTAGTTTCTTATACACCTAATCTAACATATTGAAACTGTTATTTTTAAGAAATTCTCAATTTTCTTCGCACTCATGTGCTAGTAAGAAAAAAGACCTTAGTTTAAAAAAATACCTTAAATTTAATCCCATTATCTAAAATTTTGTTGAAGGATAATTTGTGAGTTTCAAAGTGTCCTTGCTTTACTTTCATCCAATAAAGGGTTATTTTTTACCCATGTTATTTTGCAGACATTACAAACAAGCTTATGGTTACATCTTGGACCTAAGGATGCATGACACAAACATGCTTGAAATTAAAACTGTTGCTGGATTTATTAACTATAAGGTAATTGTGTGCTTGCAAAGCTAAAGATATTTAAATATTTATCAAATCATTTTTATTTTCTTAAAAGTATTATTTTGAAGCTTCCTGTCATGGGGTTAAATTTCTTTTAAGCAATAAAATATTGATTTGACTAGAAAAGGGACACCAAAAAAAGTAGCCAACAATCTCTAAGATTTCTCAATATTCAATAAATGAGTTGTCATTAACAAAAAGTATTTACCTTAAAATGTTCAGTGCAATCATAAAACATGGTCACATCAGAAATAAATTGTAAATTACTTTGCTTTTTTTTGGCTTGGCAGTCAACAATTGGGGGGGGGGTGGGGGAGAGTGTTTGGTTTCCTTTGTCTGCAATACTTATTAGTACTTGAAAACTTTATACTTAGATCTGCAGGCTTTCATTTCAACACAATGCTCCCCTGGACGCCATTGCTCAGTTTAGAAAACACATTGATTTCTTCAAGTCAAAAACTGGAATTCCAGAGCTTTCTTTTGAGCACAGCGCTTGGATGTCAAAGCAGTGAGTTCATTTGTTAACATAGGCCACTAATTTATGTTAAACTGGTAGTGTTGGGGAAGTGCAAACTGATGAATTTAGACCACATAAATAACTCCTACGTATGTTAGTATGCGGGACCTATACAACTTTAGTAAATACATTTTTCAAGAATTCTCTTGCTTTTAAACACTGTTAATTAAATATGATGGAAATAGATATCATGATTTCATGTAACTGTTAAAATTAATATTGAATTTTACCATAAAGATATATTTACTTTATTCTTAATGTTTTCAATAAATATTTCAAGTACATTTTAATTTTTTTTTTGGTCAGCTTGTCTTATGTCAGGGGTCACCAAATTTTTTTCAAGTTACTTGGTAGGTTTTTAAAAATGATGTCATCATTTGTTAATTAATTCGTATTTAAATACATCTTGTTTAATGCTGATCTGAGTTCGAGTTTAAACCACGTTAAATTTCACCAGTAACTTTATTTTACCAGTGATCGACTGTGATAATGTGATCTGTACGTCCACTTATTATCAGTTAATATCTATTGCAAATACACGTCTGCAAAACAAAGTGACTGCAGATTGTATTATAAATGTCAGTCATCTACTGTTTGTAGTTAACTTTTTCTATGCCAGCTTAACTTGATCCCACTAAGCACTGCGATGCGAGTAGTTATTGTATTCATTTTAAATACTGTATGTTTATTTATTTACTATTAAGATTCCTTATTGTGCGATTTTGAGACGATATTGTACTAATTTTATGAGTTCAAAGGTAAATATTGGTCTACAATAAACAAGAAAATCAAGATAAAATAATTTTAAATCAAAAAGGATAAATTAAGGCGCATAGCAGACCGGAGGTCTCCGCACTTGTGAAGATCTCCTAGTATTCTAAACATAATATCGAAATTGTATCACAACGTCTCGTGTTCCATACGCTTTATCAGGCAAGTTCAAGTGCCGTTGACAGGCCGGATGAACTGGCCTTGCAGGCTGGATCCGGCCCGCGGGCCGTAGTTTGGTGACCCCTGTCTTATGTCATACTCCAATAAATTATTAAGATTTCCAAATGTTGACAGATTCCAAGTGTTTGGAGATTTGTTTGATGAGGCTATCAAGCTAGGACTTACAGCCATACAGACCCAGCATCCTGGCTTCTACTACCAGCAAGCAGCCAATCATGCTATATTTAGAAAACAGCTGTGTCAAGGTCTTTGCATGGTAATTTAGCACATTCTCTAATTCACTAATTGAAATTTTAGCAAACATTTTCATAAAAATAATTCTCGAGGATCTCTTTTTTTTAACTAAAATAAATTTTCGTGACTTTCTTTGTCTGCTATATTTGTGTGTGTCTACTCTATGATGGTAAAGTTTTGTTTTAGTAATGTAAGGTTGAAGTCTGGTTTTAGGTGTTAAATAAAAAATAGTTGTGCAGTTAATTTTGGCATTACTTCCTTACAAACTAGCAACCACAGGAGATGAAGAGTGCTGATGTCATAACAGATTACTTGGGACCTGTTGACTTTTATGGTCAAAGAAAATGGAGACAGGGACACCAAAGTGAGTGAATCTCGTAAAGTTGTCAAAACAAATTACAAAAACAAATCATTCTTTTATTTCTACCTGCTTATATATTTGATGAGGTGCAACTAAAGATATGTTTAAAAATGTTTGTTTGCTTTGCCAGGCATTGAACCTCCTGACCTACAGAAAGAAAGAGATGGAATTTTAGCTCTTCAGACAAAGGAGAGGCAAGTGGATCATTCAGTGAGTGCATTCTATCTGATGACCTTTTTCATTGCTCAATAAATAGTGAATATATGTTTAAGAAAATTTTTAATTGTTCTGTCTTCTTTTTTTTTTTATGCCTAAATATATCTTGTTCCACTTTTTATTTGTTTTTAAAGAGAGATTGCTCTTTTTGGTTCTGTCTTTTTTTTCATCTTGTTCCACTTTTTATTTACTTCACACATCTTGAATGCAGACCCCGCTTTTATCATTCTTTTCTCAAACATTTTCCCTTCAGTTAAAATTTATGCCTTAAAAAGTATTTTCAATGTTTGCATTTTTTGTTTTTAAAGAGAAAATGTTCTTTTTGGTTTTGACATTTTGAAAGATGGGATATGTTGCCCATTACCACAGTTATTGACAGTCAGGAATTTGTAGGCAAATATTGACCTTCATTACTCTCCTCTTTAGTGGTTAATCATTCCTCTGCTAAGCAGTGCAGTGGCGCAGTTCCGCAAGTACAAGTCACCTAGAATGAAAAGGTTTTTAAGTAAGCATCATTTTTAAATCTACCAACTGTTTTTAGTGTTCATGTTGCTGTAAGTTGATCTATGAAATCAATATTAAATACCAGAACAAATCCTGCCTGATTCAGCTGATTCTTGTTCAGGTAAAAATTAAAGTGTGTAACACCTGTATTCTATGATGTCTGTACGTTAAACAAATAGATCAACTAATGTGGAACAAAAGTTTTTAAACTTTGTATTGAGTTGTAGCCATTCTAGGCTTGGCATACAGACAAGCTCCTAAGTTTCAATTATTTATGAAGTGTAACAATAAAGAATATTTTTTTTAAAATTTTATTTTCTCCCTAGTGGTGCAAATGGGAGAAGAGTACTATCATGCCAAGGATTATATCAAAGCTCTGATGTGAGTTCTGCAAAAAGATTATTAAAAGCTTTCAGCTTGAAAATTCTAGAATTGAATTTAAGCTTAGAATCTGAGTAATACTAATTTAAAATATTCTCTCTCTGGTCTGTTAATTTTTTTTTGGTTTAAATTTATTTAATTGATCTCATCCTAAAAAAAAAAAACATATCTTATGCAGTCTAGCTGCTAAATAATTTAGATAATCAATTATGAAGTATTTATAGTAGATAAAGCTATTTAATACCATTCTAGAACTCAATCATTCAGCATTCATAAATCTTAGAGAAAAATAATTTTATTGTTTTTTTGGATTACTCTTTAGAGTTTAGTGACATTGTCTTGATTTTTAAAAAAATTCAATCATGCTTTCTAAAAGGCTGCTGAACAAAGTGATGTGGGACTACAGGGGTGAGAGATGGTGGAAACTGCTCACATCTATATTAGAGATATCACTGAAATGTGCTTATCTGACAGCCAAGGCTCAGGAGTATGTGGCCAACTGTATGGAATTGATTGGCAGGTGTATCCTTTATATTCTAACACCAGCTGTGATATTGCTTAAATCACGTTTATACATTAATGATAAATAATGATAAATTATTTATTCCTAATGAAGCAAAAATTGATTTCTAATATTCCCGGCTTTAAGTATTTTTGTGTCAGTGTGACCTTGCCTTAAGTTTGTAAAAAGATTCCCAATGTAGCCACGATGAAAAAGTTAGAATTCAGATGAATCTGATCAGGGTCATGTCAGTAAGTACCATTCCATTTTTAAGACACTTATTATTATATTTTGTTTTTCTCTTTTCATCAATACTTTTTTTGTTTTCACTGCACGATAGGTACAAATTATTTTCAGTCATTTCATATCTTCCGTTTAAATATTGCATTTTCTTACTTTTTTTTTATATTGTTTTTAAACAAAATCTTTGTGAATGTACATATATGTTTTCAAATCAAACCTATACATGATATAAAGATATATCAGCATGGCTTTGTTGAGAAAGGCATTGGGATCTAACATTGATTAGTTAATGTTTACATGTGTAACCACTCCACAGCATGAACCGCCGGATCCTGAACCAGGTTTGGATCAAAGTTGCATAGAAAAAGCCAGTTCCATTTGGACAGAGTTCCGCTCCAAGCCCACAATATTCACCATTGAAATGCAAGGACTTATACCGTTCAGTGAGTTGGTACTGTTAACAACTTACAATCATCAGCCAGCTTCATTTCAAACTTGTTATATTGTAAGACATGGGTGCCATGACAGAAGTTAAGCTATTTCATTTAGCACTCCGCAAAGTTCACCAACAATGTTTTCTCTTTTGCAGTTGAAACTAAAGCATGTTTCACAAGTGATGCAGTCTCAGCTGATCAAAAAGTAAATATTGAAGTTTGCCTCAGGTAAAATACCACCACATTTTTAATTCAGCAATATATTTTATAACAATTCATTTTGGGATTATTTTGTGTGTTATGGGCACGTGTGCCACCTATGATTTTATTTGGCCTGAATCCATCTAACTTTATTTAAGAATTTTGCATCAGCTTAATTTTTCCAATCATTACAATTTATTGTCAACAGTTTTCTTTAGCAGATAATTTTTTTAATCAGTTTGCCTATGTTTCCCAAGGAAAAATCTTAATTCTTCACTCATACCAAAAAGCTGTTAACAGTGAAAGTATGTATACAAAGTTATTGGAGCATTTCATGAAAAAAAAGTTCTTTCTGATCATTTCAGAGTTGGCTGCCCATTCCCAGTGAGACTTTCAAAGCTTTTGATCCTGTTTACAAATCAAGTTAGTCAATATTATCTCCTTGATCTATTTTTAAATCCTTTATATTAACTTCACTTTTGTTTGTGTGTTTGTTTTAAGGCTAAAATCTTTGGACAGCTAATTGACCCATTTCCAGTCATCCTATCTAGCGGAAACTTGGCATATAGACTTGTTTCAGATGACAATTGCCCCACCCCCAAAAATCAGTTTTAATGCTACCAGATACCACTGATTTGACGAAACTAAAATCCAGATAAACATGCTAAATGAGATACTTAAAAATATTGCAAGCGCTTTCGATGTGTAATATTTTCTTTCGTTTTAAGAAATGGTGTAATAAATCTCTGTGTAAAAGTGGGTGGGACATTAGAATATTAATATAGTTCAGGGGCCTGAAAAAAAATTATGCGGCTGTGAGCCAGGAGGGGGGGGGGGGCTCTAATTGGGTATCTTATAAAGTGCGTTACTTGAATGCATGTTTTGTCAAATTTTCAGCCTCCACCCCACATTGCTCACTAAACTTCGTTTTTAGGAGTTGTTTAGCTATTATAGGTTTTACAAATTGTAAGTGATTGCCTAGATAATATTTTTGCAATAATTCATTTCTTTTTAAATAGAAATATAACACATACTGTGTTATGACTGATAGAATTGGCACATCTGGTGCATCAGCAAGTGAAATGGATAGTGGGGACCTTTATCTTAAACCCAATGAGCCAAGAGTGTTCTCCTTTTCATTCTTACCACTCAGTGAGGATGTTGGAAAACTAATAGAGGTAGGTAACTGTATTGCCAATTAAGAACTTATTTAAAGGCACTTTGAAAGCTCCTAGTCATTTAATCTGTTTTAATCATTATAAACTATTTTCATTTCATTAACTGGTAGCTTATGAGTTTCAAAGGGAATTTATTTAAATATCATTTTATTTTACAAAAGCCTTATATAAATGTTTAGATGATTTGATCTAATTTAATAAATGTGAAATAGTTGGGTGGTTTTTGGGGTTGTTTTTTTTTTTTTTTCAACTTTAAAGTATCTACAAAATGGATGTGGAGTTTCAAAAGTTAATAATTAATTGATAAAACACTTTATCAGATTTCCTCCCTGGCACTAGAGATGGGTTCAGATAATGGCTGTTGTGCAGTTCTTAGATGGACAGGAGGGGGAGGGGACAACCTCATCCAACCTGCTGGTCCAACTAGGCCAGTCATTAAGTCCACTGTTCCAGACATGCCCATTGATTGGGACTCTTTTCTTGTTAATCCAGCTGTTAGGTAAATTCAGTAGCCTTCTGTTACTCTTACAACATATTCTGATATTTTATTATTTAGTAAAGTACTCACTGTGTCAATGGCTTCTAATTTTAAATATATATATATATGTACACTGAATATAAAAAAACACAACAGGAAAATCAACAGATTCACATGATATAATCTTGTCTTTTTTAAAAAATGTGAGGAACATTAGTAAAATTTGTGCTAAATTGTTGTTGTGATGAAGATATTTAAAAAAAAGACTTATAAGTCTTTATTTTACAATAGTTACATATAAACCTTTTAAAGCTATCTTTGTAATCATAATCAGATGAATTTTTTTATTTCTTGTTTAAGGGTAAACCCACGCAAAGCTCTGTTGGAGGTCAAAGTTGAACATGAGCCCCCTTGCCTTTTAAATGAAGTTTACTCTATGAAATTAATCATAGAAAATAAGGAAGATGGACCAATTCAAGGAGTTAGGTAAACATATTTATTCTATAAATCTACTAATTTTTTATTCAGTTCAATTTTTTTTATAGTTAATTTTTTTTGTTGCCATTTTCTTTTCTTTCTGTTTACTTAATATTAAGATTATTAATTTGCTTTCTACAAATTTTAGAGTTTCTTTGGGACTTCAAGAATCAGAAGAAAATCAAGACAATGCTAGTAAGTTTTAATTTTAAGAAAGGACTCTTATTATATTTTATAAGCAAAACACAATTTTGATTGTTCAATGTTTGTGTGTAAACATATGGTTCAAAGTAATGATGAATGGATTTCATGAAAACCATTGATTTATTTTGAACCATCATAAAATCTCAAGTGCTTCTTGCAAAATTGCTGATGAAAAAACAGAGGTTATTTAATACTCATAAATCTACATATTTTTTTTCCAGCTGTTAATTTTTCATATAACTTATAATTTTGATTGTTTTATACATTTAATATTTATGTAAACTAGAAAATAAACTAGACCTATGTAATTATAAATGAGCTCCAAAAAAAATATTTTCTAATGGCAAAATATCAAATGGCCCTAGTACAAAATGTGGAATTTTGTAATGGGAATACTTTTAATTGAGGCTTTACACATGTGCCAAATGAAATAATTAAGAATGCATATTATACATGTGAACTTCAATTTGCATGCAATTCTTTGTCCAAGTTTAGGTGGAAGGTGCATTTTATAACATATATTTTATTATATAACATAAAAGTTACAGTTTAAATATGAACTTGTTCAAATAAAGTATACATTTTCCATCTAGCCCAAGTGACTGCTGACATTTCAGAGTTTGAAGGAGGAAGTCCTTCCAATAGTTGCCAGACTGACCTTGGCACCCTTAAGAAAGGCCAGAAGGTACATGAGTTTACTTTTCTGCTCTACTTTCTGCTATTCTACTTTTGTATAGAGATAATGAGCTACAATTTCTGGTTCTGGACTTTTGTTTAGAGATAATGAGCTATAATTACCTTTGCTGTACTTTTTTATAATGATAATGAAGTATAATTTCTGTTGCTGTACTTTTTTTACAATGATAATGAGGTATAATTTCTGTTGCTGTACTTTTGTATATCGATAGTGAAGAATAATTTCTGTTACCATACTTTTGTGTAGAGATAATGAGATATAATATCTGTTACTGTCCTGAGGTATATAGAGACTGAGGTAAATTCTCTTCAGATGTCAGTATATGTCAGTTTTTCTTTTTTAAACTTCTGCTTTAAATTTCAGCATTCCATTTTTATTTTGTGCTTAGGTCACCCAACAGTTCTTTGTCAAATGTCTTCAATCAGGCACCAGGGCTATCGTTGCTATGGTGAGTCATTTAACAAATAATAACTTAGACTGTGACATAATTAAATCTGGGGAGTTGATGTCATCACACCAGACAGGCACCAGAGCTATCGTGGGTATGGCGAGTCATTTAACAAATAATAACTTAGACTGTGACATAATTAAATCTGGGGAGTTGATGTCATCACACCAGACAGGCACCAGAGCTATCGTGGGTATGGCGAGTCATTTAACAAATAATAACTTAGACTGTGACATAATTAAATCTGGGGAGTTGATGTCATCACACAAATTAGAATTTTGAGCACCTGCCTCATTAATTTATATTTTTCCCTTGACTTTAGGTCAGTTACAGTGTAGCTGTTGTGGTTGGGAGACATATGATAACCTGTGAATGTCAGGCGGAAGAGCAGATCTTTCTGTTAACTGTCCGACCTTTTGATGTTTCCATTAAACTGGAGTCGGTAAAGGTACTCGATGTTAACATGCTTTTTTCCATTCTAATTTTTTTACTACTGTTAAAGAACCCTTTGTAAATGTTGTTACTGTTAAAGAACCCTTTGTAAATGTTGTTACTGTTAAAGAACCCTTTGTAAATGTTGTTACTGCTAAAGAACCCTTTGTAAATGTTGTTACTGCTAAAGAACCCTTTGTAAATGTTGTTACTGTTAAAGAACCCTTTGTAAATGTTGTTACTGCTAAAGAACCCTTTGTAAATGTTGTTACTGTTAAAGAACCCTTTGTAAATGTTGTTACTGCTAAAGAACCCTTTGTAAATGTTGTTACTGTTAAAGAACCCTTTGTAAATGTTGTTACTGCTAAAGAACCCTTTGTAAATGTTGTTACTGTTAAAGAACCCTTTGTAAATGTTGTTACTGTTAAAGAAACCTTTGTAAATGTTGTTACTGTTAAAGAACCCTTTGTAAATGTTGTTACTGCTAAAGAACCCTTTGTAAATGTTGTTACTGTTAAAGAACCCTTTGTAAATGTTGTTACTGCTAAAGAACCCTTTGTAAATGTTGTTATCATTTACCCTTGTACAGAGTATTTATTTTTAAAAATATTGAAAATGTTTTTATTTCTTTCAGTTTGAGACCATTGAGGCTGTGCACTCTGAAGATCCATTCTTGTTAACCACTGATATTCAGTGCTCCTCACCATGGCCCATAGAAATGAAAAACAGCTCTATCTCATTAGTGAGTGTGTGTGTATGCACTGAGATGAAGGATGCAAGATTTTAGCTCATTATTTCTATTCAGACAAAACCGGGTCCATCTCAAAACATATGTAACCCTTATGACACTCTGTAACACATCTTGTAGTATCATTTCAGGATAGTTGTCATATGCATATCCAAATTTTTCCCATTGTTTACAAATTTGATATGCACACAGAAAATGATACTAAACCATATTGGCTATGTTTTAAAGTTTTCTTTTGTTATTATATTTTTAATCTATCACATACTTAAAAATTTTCAGAGTGAATTTATAAGTACTGCATGTGATGACTATGAATCTCAAATAGCAGGAGGTTGGTCAAATATAATTTAATTTACCAATGTTTAATTTAAATATTTTTAGAACCAGTTGATTTATTTTTTTACATGGGGATGAAATATGGATCTTAGTTTCAACACCAGTTATAATTAAACTTGGAAAGTAAAGGATATTTAAGTAACATTTATTTACAAATAAATAGTAGCAATATTATAATGTTAGATTTTGTATTTATTATCAGTCCAGAAATATGTAAAAATTATTTTTAAAATTCTGATTTTACTGATTTTTAAAAGCTCGTTATTTATAGTTTTAATGATACTTTGGGGGGAGGGGCGTCGGCAAGACGATGACGACACTGTAATCAGGTTAGGTAGGAGGAAATAAGTGAAACACGGTATGGGAAGTCTTTAATAAGACGGATGCAACAAAACAGCAGATGCCTTTCGGCGAGAAGCGTTCTTCAGAGAACGCATAACAGTAAAACAAATATAAAAATTTAAAAAAATACTTAGCTGCAATGTAGTTTCCGAGGGACAGCAAGAGAAATGTCACCAAATCATTTCTGTCCTCTTGGATACTACATTACAGTTAAGTCTTTATTTTAATTTTTTCATTTGTTTTACCATTGCGTGTTCACTGAAGAAGGCTTTCTTCCCACAAGTTCATTGTTTAGTTAAGTACCTTTTTCATGTTTTCCTTATTTAAATTTTTAAGGAAAGCTGCATATATTGAAAAAATTTATTTTAAACAATTAATTGTTATTCTATTCAGTTCGACTAAATAAATCTGATTGTGGGGCTGAATGTATATGTCTGGTGGCGTCATCTTGTATACAACCTTCAGTATCTCTTGGAACATACACCTTGGAATGGAAGAGGTGGGGTTAATTTTTAATGGTATTAAAACATAGCAATAATTAATACTTAACTGCAGAATAGATTACGTAATTTAGTATATTTATCATTCACATTATAATACAGTAATGTAACAATAAAGTACATGATTTTACAAACTTCTGTAGTTTTTATTTTTATGTTTATAAAACATGATTGTTTATTTCAGTTATATCTAATTTTAACAATGTATCGATTTTTAAAACGCTATTTTAACATTCCAGATTACTCATCTGTTATTTTTTTTATCATCCTTTTAGTCCTTTATCTCTAATTTTCTAATTAAAACACATCAGTAGGGGAAACCTGAAAACTTGCAAAAATTATTGTAGACTGTGACTAAAATTGTAGACACTGTCCTAGATTTAATATTAACTCTTTCTTACTGATTCCACTATGCTTCTTGGCCATTACCCAGGTCAGCATAAATATTATTTTTATTTTATATATTTAAAAACAGTTAAAATGTAGTTAACATGGTTGTGACCCTGTTTATTCATCAGGCACACATCAAACAGCAAAGACCTACCTTATGTGATGACCAGCTTCCCCTTGCCAACAGTGAATATTGAACACATACCGATTACTGTACATGTCACACTGCCAGCGTTTGGGAGAGTAAAGACACTTCTACCACTCAGTTACTCTGTAAAGAATAGAACACCATATGTTCAAGAAGTGCAGATCAGCATGGAGTCCACTGATAATTTTATGTTTTCAGGAAACAAACAGGTCATTTCAGTTAAATGTGGTTTGATTTTATAAAATAAACTAATCATGTGCTAAAAAAACATACCTTCTTATTTATTTCATCCATCAATCTCCAACTGAGAAAGGTGTTATTTGGAAAATATTCATGGCAAAAGTATGAAACCTTGGCGGGGTTATTTTCTAGAGAATTAAGTGTTCCCCACTTAGCAGATTTACCCCTCTGAGTTGCTGCAATTTTTTGGTTAAGGCATCAGATTATTTGTAGTCTAAGTTTTCTATAGGTTGATGTCCTGGTATTCTTGGGCTTTGAACACCTCAACACAGTCACCCAGTTGCAATCAACATTAACTTGTCTAAAACCTGTTGTTGTTTTTTTATTTACCAGACTCATTTCCGTGTCTTGCCAAGTCAGGAGTACAAAATTCACTACAACTTTTTTCCACTGGTGGCTGGGCAGGTGTCACTGCCAAGACTGCATTTAGATATGATGCGCTACCCTGGCACCATGGATGATATCATTAATAAGATGTTGCCAACACATATTTTTATAAGGGTAAAAAGTATTTTTAAAATATGCAATTCCTTAGGTTAAAAATGAGTTTCACTAGAGAGTGATAAAACCAAAATTTAATTAAGCTTTTAATAGCAACTTTTTTTTATTATATCATATAATTTACTAAATACTCAGAATAATATTAATGCAGTAAAAATAATATAAAGCCTTCAGCACAACTTTATAATCCTAATTTAAATAACATACAATTTGTGATACGTATGAGAAAAATAAAATTCTTTTATATTTAGTAAATCACTAAAAGATTTTGTTTTCCCTTCCTTTCAGCCTAATGGCAAGATACCTCCTGTTTGAGAGTCACTGCCTCTGCTGTGTTCAGTGCAATACAATATTAAGTGAATAGTAATTTAAATGTATTTTAGCTGAAGCTGGCAGATAACATTTTTCTTTAGCATTCCTGGATGTTTACTTGTGTATTGTTTTTTTAACATAACATTTGTGTTTTACACGTGTCTGAAGCCTATGAGAAGAATGTGCAAGACGATAACCATTAACCACTCTAGAAACAAAAATAAAGAAAACCCTATTAATAGTCTGAGACAATGATGAACATTTTTCATACACAATACATGAAATAAAATAACCAGGGAAACCATTTTTTTAGCACACTAAGCCACTAAGAACGTTAAAATATTTCCATGGTCATATAAAATCCATATTGTGTACAAATCCCAATTTGTGTGAACTTTCTAACTATAATGTAAGTGTTAATTACATTACGAACTTCCTACTCACTGTATCTTCTATATATTGATTCATAATGATTTTTTTAAAAATTGAGTCTTTCTTTAATTCAATGTATCATTTAATTAACATTTAGTGTTATAGCAATAATCTTTCAAAAATACAACTAGTGAAACAATGTTTATTTTCTAATAGTTAAAGCTCCTCCTCCTCTGTCTTATTGCTATCTGCTTTGTTTAGAACTAATGTTTTGTTTCTGTTGCTGTGTTTTGCTATACTTGACTGAATGTTTGTAATTAGCTTGGATGACCAAGACATTTCAATTTAGGTCTTCATTTTTTTAAAGAAAATAATTGAATTTTTTCACTTGGGCTGACTGTGCCAAAAAAGACGCTGCATCCCTTTTCACAAGCCCTTGACTTACTTTGCAAAATAATTTATAAATAATAAACTGATTACTTTAAAAATATAAAACTATTTATATCCTTATAGGGAATGGAATAAACTAATACAACCTTTATGAATATAACTGAAATATCAATATTTTTGCAAGTGAGATAGCCTGATTTGCAAAATTCATGTAATCAATTTTTTTGTACACTTAGAATAAAATTTATTTTCAAATTTTTTTTTAATTTTCAGATTGTTGAAGACTACATAAGTCTTAACCCATATTTGAATGAGATTCAATATAAAAAATTTCATAAAATTTTTCCCTGGGGGCTGCTTATGCTTTTTTGCATATCTCAAGGTCACACATTTTTTAAAGCATTATAAGGGTCCCTAGGTACCCAAAAAATTGATATGAAATGACAGATTATCGTAAAATATCAATGGAACCCGCCATCAAAATTTCAAGATGAGCAATAAATGGAAGAAGCAATCTGATTAGCTGGTAGGAAGACCAGCCAGCCAGTCTTGAGTCTTTTACTTTTGGGATCTATCTCGTCTTTTTTCACCATTACACCCTGGGCCGATAGATTGTCTCAAGAGGGTTAACATAAATGATAAATATACTAAATTGTGCAATCTAATAGGCAGTTAAGTATTAATTATTACTATGTTTTAATACCATTAAAAATTAACCCCACCTCTTTTATGAATTAAAGATATCAGTAATTTGAATGAATGTTTTCCATGTTATTTGACTTAAAGATTACATAGCATTACTAAAATTACTTGCTACATTTACTCTGTGTGATTATTTGTGAATTATTTGACTATTTAATTTTTGCTCACTTACACGCTATGATTTAGAAAATGTATAAATACAAGCCAAGTAACTGGAGTCCAATCTTTCTTTGAATGACACCTGCTTCTAAATAATCCAACTTTATTTTTAATTGTGTAATTGTTTTGGCTCTATTGTCAATTTGTCCAAGACACTGGGAAAATAAAATAAATTTGATTGAACTGAATTGTCATGAGTTTTTATAATTATTTGAAATGAATGTCTGTAATTATTATTCAGTTAATAAAAAAAATAATACTTACAGGTATGGTTTGACATTTTAAGAAATAAATTATACTAAGAAAAATATTCATATTTTCAATTTAATTAATTAAATTATAAAAATTATTTTTTTTTTAATAATATCATGCTAAAAATATGTATAATAGTTATCATTGATTTCAAACGAATGAATTTTCTTAGTTAAATTCTGCCTCTATTGTAGTCTGAGGAGGCCAAAAGGGTGTCTGAAGTTTGCCAATATCAGATGTCTTGGTCTCCCTCTGGCCCTGAAACCAGAGTGCCTGCTATTTTAGGTTTGCAATGCAGGTTGATTGGCAGGCATTGTGACCAGTTAGTCAAACCAATTAATTTGCTATTGGGGCATAAAGGCATAAACAGGTATGGCACCACAAGCCACCTGTCCTATTTTCTGGTTCTGAATGTGGCCCCTTTCTTATTTTACCATCAGCCATTAACATTTATGTCATAGGTGAAGAGTTTTTTCTCCAGTTTTATTCAGAGCCAAGATCATTCACTATTAAGGGTTGAAATAAAGTGGGTGCTTATTAGTCTGGCTTTGGTCTCCATCTTTATTCTTGAGTGTCTCTTATTCGTGGAAATTTACAAAATGTAGGCTGCGCTGGACAGGACAACTCAAGAAGATGTCAGTGATATTTTCAGGGGCATGCAAGGCTCATCAGTCGACAGAGTCTGTGGTAGATAGTTCATGTCTGCTTTCCATCAGCTGGAGCCCACGCATGGAGACGAAATGCCTGAGAAAAGAGCTGTAGGCTATATCAAGCCAGAGTCCTCAAACTAGCGTCTAAAATCCCCAAAAGTCCACGCCAGCGAAGAAGCCGAGAGTATAAGCAGGGGCCGATGAATGTTTTGGACTGACGCGATGGCCGCTACCAGCTACAAAAATATATGAATAAAACATTGTTATTGAGTAACAGTAAAGGAAAGCTTTTCAACAGCAGAAAGGAACGTTTAAATATGTTTGGTATTTAACTTGAAGAGTAGGCCCTACTCTATCTCTCTAACATAAAGTCGTTTTGATCTCATAATAATATCGCTCTCCTAGTACTGAGAATGGGAGCCGTCCGTGGGTCTCAGATTAAAGGGCCAAAGTTGTGATGTGTGAAAAATGTAAACCATCAATTTTTGCAGGGGGGGGGGGCACAAAACATAAAAGTGGCAGGGATGCCTGAAAAGTCACGACCGCTTCTGCTAACAATCACCGCAGGGAGATAGGGGAGCTAAAATACATTTTTTACTATTCAAAGTGAGCAATTAGATTCCAGTATTCCAAAATTTTCATGCATATGTTAATGATAAGGTTTTTAATAAAGTGTTGAGCATATTTGGCAACAGATTTGCAGCAAACGATAAGAAGAAAGCTGCAATCATGACATAACCCGATCCGAGGAAATATGATGATCTGGACAGGGTCTTGCTTAAAACGCACACATTTTTCAGCAATAATATTTTGCGATTCAACACCAAACCAAGGTCACCAAGATTTCTTGAAGATGTTCTAGATTTTTTTTTTAAATTGATAAAATTATTAACCATGTTTGTTAAAATATAATTTAGCAATTATCTAGGGCATATGCCCTGTAGCCCTAAGTGGTCAATAAGTCCTGGGAGCCGGGCCGATTTATCAAAATCGCCCGGGTCGATTTCATCCCTCGATCCACCCCTGGGTCTTAGTGTATTCAAAATTTAAAAACGCTACTAATTAGTTGAACGTATATTTCAATTACTGGCCTAACTTGTATTTTATGTATTTTGACACGAATATGTATGGATAATTATAGATTTAAATAAAAGTGCGTCAGAACTGGTAATTAAATTTTATAATTTGAACCCCTAAATTGGCACCCAGAAAGCATTGCCTCCTTTTTCATTTAACCATCATCTCTCTCTTAGTCTCGGCTTCTCCTTTAATTCTTATGCTCTTTGCATTATTTGTCTGTGAGCTAACAACACGAGGTGGGGCATAGGGGGGGGGGGGGGGGGGGGGGGGGGGGTTAAGTATAATAAATCGTCTATAAATACGACAAACGTCTTACACTTTGGCAAATAGACTAGCAGCTTCATGCAGTTGTATCCTTTCTCTGACGTCACTTCCAGATCGCCATTTGTTTCCGAAATGGCAAATGTGTGTGTTAGTGTCTGCTTAACACCAGAAATACTTCGAACATGGGATAAAACAGGGAGAACGGAATTGTATGTTAAATATTAGGCAGACAAAATCTGAAACCATTACAATACTGATACTATAATATTTAACTCTCTACTCATACGCACAAAATTAGCAATTTGTGTGCATAACCCGTGCATCTGCGCTGTGTGGGATCTATCATGTTTCTGAGAGTTTCTGGTTCAATTTAATAACCAATTTAATTAACATTTTAATTTAAAAGCTAAATTTATAACTTGGTAAGCCTATAATATATTTAGGTCTAAGGTAGGAACAATTGAATTAAGGTAATCCACCACTTTCTGTTGTTCCAGTTGGAGTTTGAAGTGCTATTTAAAAAGTTACTTTTTTATTGATGTAGAGTGGGGTCAGAGAGGGCAACTAGTAACTAGGTTTTCAGTTGCATAGAAAGTAAAGAGAGAGTTTATGTCGCTTTCTCGTCTAAGTGCCAGATATATCCTTTCAGGCTCACTGATTGTATCGAACAGATGGGCGGCTTTTGCCGATCCCATCATAAACCAATCAGACACGGAATAGGCCTATGCCTATACAAACACTTTGTTGTGGTCCATCAACAAAATTTAGTTGATCCAAATAATACTAGTATCCACTCACACAGAATATTGAAAAGCGTACACTGAAATGTCAGTTTAGCACAATCTGCAACTAATCCCTTCCTATTTGCATGAGTTCTTGTTTCGCGATTGTTTTAGTGGAACTGACATTTTCAAGAAAGGCTATTTTTGGCAGAAAGTTAAGAGAGTGGGCTGAGTGGAATCCGCAATAAAAGAGCTTTAGTGACTTTCTAAAACGGAACTTAATCTCAGGCCCATCTCCAACCATCCAGTCCTTGAATGTATCTGTTCAATGTCCACAACCCATAGCTGACGCCATGTCAAACTGTTTTTAGCTGTTGACACCCGCACCATGACACTGCTGAGTGAGGGTCTGACAAGTTCATTAGTATTGTTGATGGCCATCACACTTATTCATTGCGTATCTCAGCAGCATCAAAAACTTCTTCCACAGGCACTATTGTTGTCTATCCTCTTTTGTTTTCCTGCCATATCAGTGGATTATTAACTTATTTAAATGAATTCTGCTCAATAACTTAAAACAGAATCAGAACAGTTAATGGACATCAATAAAAGAATACTTGTTAAAATATCAATTAAGACCCAATAAACATGACACTGAATAGCAGACGCTGAAGTGCCAGATTACCAAGTTTTCCTATTTATTTTATTTAGCAATAAACAATTTAGATACATTTTTAAAACTTTCTCTTCTGCATCATTTGAAGATTGAATACAAACAACAATGATGAATTGCACCAAATATCTGAAACGACAAAATCCTTTAAATTGATGACATTGATGTATTTAAAATTATCTGGGGTCATTCTAATATTAAAATATCCTTTCAAAGAGGTCCTACTAGCATTACTAGCCTGGTGTTATGTGCAGATACCATTTGGATATTGTTTACAAGTAATTAATGGTGAAAAGTAATGTTTTAAGTTTGAGACTGTAAACTTAATAACTTTCTGAAGTCTGATGATATTGACTTAATTTTTGTTAATTTAAATACAAGAAAATGCATTACTAATTCCTCAGCTAACATAATTAATACATTAAATATCTATAATTACATCTAATTTGCTATCAATTTTATTGTCTAAGGCTAGTTTTTAAAAAATGCTATTGTATCAAAAGTTGAACAAAAAACATTTTATAAATAAGCAACTTTTATTTAAAAGTTTGAATTTATGAAATTATCCATTTGGGATGTAAACATGTTAGAATGCATATGCAGCTAATGTTATATGGTGTGTATATAAAGCTAGCATTAAGTACCTGATGTTTTTTTTTCCCTCCTGGGCTTTCGTGAGGATTGAACTCCAATAAATTAATAAAAATGTCTAAATTGACGCAATTTAGACCGCATAGCCATCAAATAACCCATTTAATACGCAAATTTATTAAATATCTTTTAAAAGTTTAATTTTCAAATAAATATTTGGATCTGCATCACGCCATATTAATATCAGTATTGGCAGAGGCGAATACTTGAGAAAAACTGGATATTTAGCCAGGGCAAATGTCCAAGGCCATTTCCAGTTGTTCCTTACTAACAATACACAATTAAATGTGTATGTAAAATTATTTGGGTACATGTTGCATATATCATAATAGCAGCAAAGGGTGCATTCATCTGTCATAATAAAAGATTTTGAAATGAACTTTGAAAAAAATGTACAGGCTTCTGGTAAAAAGTAAAAATATTCTTATGGAAGGAAAGTTCAGCTTAGGCTGCACAGGCTTAGATAACATTATCAAATATTTATAATTAACATATGGAATAAATCAAATACTCTCCTAATAGTGATCCTCAATTTCTCTGCAATTATTTTATTTCTTATAGTTTACATATTTCCAAAATATTTTTGTCCATTAATAATCTCATGTTTCACAGTAATGATAAATAAATTCTTTCACTTCCTGCAATCTTTTGGATAGCACACATATTTTGATTTTAGTCTTTTCTACCATTCCTTCACATGACTTGAACGCAGTCATTCATTTATTATCCTTACATTACATTAAGGACCTATATCATGAATCCAATCATTCGTGGAAGAGTCGTTGAACCTGATCGTAACAAAATAGAAGCTTAGACCTACAGATGTTCATGAAGTTTCAAACCCTTCAATTCTTCATTGGCCTAATTCTCTTTTTAATCTCAGCAAGTCACTGGATCCCATCAGAGCCACCCCATAAAAATCATAGATTTTATTGGACCCAGTAATATGAAAATGCTTTTAAGTTTTCATCACCACTAAAGTGGCTGTTGACTATAGGCCAAGTACTAGTATGTCACTTAAGGAAATTGCGTCGGCAGGGTGTCGAGCGTGAGCTCTTAATGCCCTCCCTGACGCACCTCCACACAGCCCAGACGCTGGGTCTCCCTGTTGCCGGACCGCCCCCACCTGCAACCGCCTAATTGTATTTGCAGATGGAGGTTTTTCCCGCCCAAGAACATCCAGTCAACCTAAAATGTTGTGTTCAAAGCGTTCGCAGCCCACTCTCCCGGGGAGTTGGGATGGTACATTTTCGTCCCAATATCTTCCCCCACCCATCCCGAAGAAGCGTCAGACACCCTATAAGAGGTTTTCTTCAGTGGGTTTCTACTATGCGACTAGTTTGCGAAGTAGCGGGGGGACAAAACGGTTGCCTAGGAATAGCTTTCTCAGGGCTGTGTACTTAGATCATCGGCTAGAGATTTCCACCTTCGCCTCTAGCCTCATATCCATTAACGGCAACTTGTAATCATGATCCCTACCCTGTCTCTGCCTTTTCTTCCAACTGTGAGGCCCCAAGTACTGGTAATACTAGTATATTCTGATTTCTGATAAGAGAAAAATATCAGCAATGTTTGTTGGTCATTCTTATGCGAGATCCTCCCTAACTTCAACTTTGGTACAAAACCTCTCTGATCTGAAATTAACTTGTCAGCTCAGCATATAAATATTCTTGTGACAGTGAGACTCAAGACAGTATCAGTAACTCAAATGAAGTCTGAAGTGGAGCAATATTCATGCACACAATTATTCAATGAAACATGGGGAAGAAAAGTCACATGCCATATGTATATAATTTTTTATAAAACGATTAAAATATACAGACTCATTAAAAATATCAAGGATTTGAGTAACAAGTTCATGTTCTTAAAATAAATAGTCCTAAGTTTAAGTACATCTTAAAAATAACAAACAAAATTTAATTCTGTCGACTCATTCATGCAACGCCACTCATTATTGATTTACCAACGCATTAGTCCTAATAATTAATTTTTATTATTATATTTCTTGGTGGGTCTGAGGCCACTAAGGGAATTACTAGCTTCAGAATTAATTGTAAATTTATGACCCAATTCATGCTTTCAAAAACTTATTTGTTATCATCAGTGTCAAGCTGTGCAAAACTCTCCTTGAAAATGATGCTCAGCCCAAACAGTTGCCAAAGAGAAATATTAAAAGAGCCCTCTATGAAGTTTGCTATGCAGTCAATCATAGTCAGTTAAAGATTGAACATGCCACTTCTATTTTCTCAGAATTAAAGGTATATAATTTTCTACTTGAATTTTACGTGTTACATCCTAACTTATTGTATGTAGGCCTAATATAAGCCATAAAGTAAAGTATCTCTGGATGAAAATTGCACTAGTCACTAACATCAATCCTTAGGGCCATGAATATTAATTTTAAAATAAAGTAAATACATTATCACATTTAATGATAATAGCAGTTTTGTTTCATCATTTAAAATATTTTTTGTTTTGTAGGATGCATTTCCATTGCTTCCATCTGCCCTTGCTGATGTTTTAGGAATTGTTGGTAAGAATTTTCCTCCCATGATTGTCAAGTAGTTACATTTACTTATTTTTATTTGATTAAGGTGTTTAAATTTAATGTTTCAAATTTATTCCATTGGATTTTTTTGTGGTGATTCTAATAATTTACTTTTCAATATCTCTAGATGTTGAGACAACTTGCTCAGATGAAGCTGTCAGGGATAAATTTGTTTCTTTTGTTGGGTCTTTGAGGGTAAGAATATTTTTAAAAAATTAATCCTAAATATATTCCCTTAAGTTTGTTATTTGGTTAGGGATTTTGGTATAGGATTGTTTTCAGTGTCACATTAATCTGTATAAAATGATTATCTTACTTTTTAACACATATATCATTACATAACACTTTCTAGTGATTAAAATTTTTAATTTTTTTTTTGTAGTTTAGTGTGAGATGTGTGTAAATCTGGATGAAAAAAAAAGATAAAATATTAAAATGAATCACCAGCAAAATAAGTATAGTTTTTGTGTGTTTGCACGACTATATTGTAAGAAGTATGTATGTAGGTTTGTTGTTTTTTTCATTAAAAAAATAAAATAATTAAGATCATATTTTTGTAATCTTTAGAATGTAGTTGTGCCTGATGGACTGCTTAAAGAAAGACTTGACCAGGATTCATTAGAACTTGCTGGTCTCGTCAACTCTCAAATTGGATTCAATCAGAAATATGTCAAGACCAAGACTCGATTATAGTAAGAATATTTTATTTTAAATATGAAATTTAAATTTTATTATTGTTACAAATTGTCCAATCTAAGTGACAAAATCCAACTAAACAATATTTTATCCTAGTTACAAGCAACAAAAATTCAACTTGCTCAGAGAAGAAAGCGAAGGCTATTCCAAACTTGTTACAGAACTTAATCCAGACTTTGGCTTAAAAAATTCATGGGAGCAAGCTCTTCAAAACATCAAGTCGTTGATTGGTAAGTAAAATAAATAAATAAATATATATTAATATATTTTTAAGTGATGAATCAACATTATAAATTGTAGATCGGAATTAACATCCATTGAGTAAATATAATTATTTTTATGTTAATTATTTCAGGTTGTTTTGATCTTGATCCAAATCGTGTGTTAGATATCATACTTGAAGGTTTTGAATGTCACCCAGAGGAGCATGTATTTTATGTTCCTCTCCTACGTTCATACATAATTGACAAACTCACTCTATGTCATATCCTGGGATTCAAGTTTCAATTCAGAGAGGTAATTTTTTCATATCTCAAAACAAAAATTCAGTGCATGCAAATTCAAGATTAATTTTTGCATAAAGTTTGTTTTAATTTCTTAGAAAAGGAGTCTTGGTAATAGTAATTTACTTTTGTCTTCAAGTGTCAAATTCTTTTTTCTCTATATTTTTGTGTGCTTTTTGACCATAATTTTTGTCTTTTTTTAAGAAACAAAATTAAAACATTTAATATTTCCATTTTTTACCCTCATAATGTCTGTTAAATTTTGCATAAAAACATAAAAGAATAGTTGATTTCTTCCCAGTATTAAACATTTTTTTATCATCTTGATTATTTTATAGATATATTTCTTCTCTTACTGCATTTGGTTTTTGGTTCTAACAATAATTTCTTTAAAATTTTTCAGTCAGCTGATTGTAGCACCCCAGTGTCTTTGTTCAGATGTGCAGCTTTATTACTTAAACATGAATTAGTGGATCTTGATGATTTATACCCTTATGTAAGTTCCACTTGAATTTATAAGAATTATTTCTGTTAGAAGAGAGTTTCAACATATTAAAATGGTCCAATATATATCTTTGAAGTCCAGTCTAAAAGAATATGTGATGTTTTTCAGCTGTTACCATCTGATACTGAAATCATTCCCTTTTACAACAAAGAGGTAGCAGATGCTAAAGCCTATGCCAGAAAGCTCCAAACTGTGGTTTTGTCTGACAAAAAAGATGATGAGAAAAAAGAAGATGAGCAGCAAATAATTGATCTGGTAATTAAAGCTGAGCTTCTATTTTAGTATTGGTTAAAAATATTAAAAACGTTGGTTTTGTTTTGAACACTGTATGTAAAATATTGAGTTAGTTAAACTTTACTGACTCACTACCAGCTCTTTATCCATCATATTTTAATGAGATTATTCAGCTGTTTTACAACTTAAATTATTTACTATTATAATATTTTATTATTTTGTGATATCCCTCAACCTTTCCAGTCCCAATTATCAATTTAAAAAAAGGGTGAAATAAAAATTTTAAATAAATGTTTAAACTTTCACTAATATTTCTGCCATATTGCAGAGAGAAAACAATCAAAAGCTGGGACTTTGTGAGGCTCTTTTAGACATTGGAGCATGGGAAAATGCCAAAGCAATACTTGACAGGCTGCCTGAAAACTTTGCTGTTGTTTATCCGTCCATCTCATTTGCCTTGTGTTCTCTCATACACAGAGTGCTTGAACCAGTTTATGAAAAGTGAGTTTTTGTTACTGATTTAGTTTTCAGATCATGACTTTCAGGATGTGGTGTTATTTTTTATCACTTATTTCTACCGTGAAAGCTTTAGCCTTATGGTTTATGAAATTGGCAGGCTTGACATTTGAATGACTACCATGTGCTTGGTTCACAAATGAATGGTGGGATAAAAAGTCCTTTTATTTATTTTTTTTTAACATAGTTTTCCATAATAACTAATGGGCCAGCTACTGGTATTATTTTTGCAATTATTTAGATAGAAAAATATGATTTAAATGTATTTGTTTTTTCCACCTAGGAATATTGGGTTCAGTCCCTTGTTAGCCAAGAAAAGGATAAGAAGTGTGCAAATCTGCGACAGCCCTCAAGCCCACACCTTTCAACAACTATATCATCTAGCCATGCCAATGTTGTATTATCTAGGCCCATATGCATCTAAAGACCCTGTTTTGATGGTGAAAATTATAAGACTTACAAAAACATTTATGACAAAGGTGAGGAATTGCTTTGAAAATTATAATTTTGTTCAATTTTGGCTTCTGTGGAATTTTTAAAGACTAAGCCAGAGTCCTTTTCTTAGATTTCTCATCAGCATTTAACACTATCCAACCACACCTTATGATAAAGAAACTTTCCTCATTAGGTGTCAATTTAACCCTTTACGGGGCAGAGCGGTCGAAAACGTCTTTACCACTTAAAGGGCAAAACGCCCAAAAGTGGTGCCCGTTCAGGACATACAAGAGGAAGTACCTCTGCCCCGTAAAGGGTTAAATATTCAGGCTTGGATACTGAACTTTATAACAAATTGACCACAATATGTCAAAGTAAATAACCAATTATCTCTAACCAGAGAATTAAGCACAGGGGCACCACAAGGCTGCGTTCTCTCTCCTGTACCGTATACCATATATACCAATGATATTCAAAGCTCAAGCAACACTGTTCCAATCTTAAAATTTGCTGATGATACCACTATTGTTGGCTTAATATCTGAAGGAGAAGGCCTATACCGCAATTTAGTTACAAGCTTTATCAATTGGTGCGATGAAAATTTTCTCCAGCTGAATGTCTCAAAAACAAAGGAACTGGTTGTTGATTTCAGGAGGGGGAAACACCAGATTACAGACCTGTTTACCCTCAAACTCTTAAAATCGTACAATATCATCACAAAATCGTTCAATACACTATCTTAATACTAAAAAAATAAACATGTATACACCTCAAAATCGTACATTGTATGCCGAAATCGTAAGAGTAAACAGGTCTGAGATTACAGATCTCAACATAAAAAATCAACATGTGGAGAAAGTGGAGGCATACTTAGGTGTCACCATTAATAATGAGCTAACATGGCATGAGCACGGCCAAATGCTGTATAAGAAATTCACCCAAAGACTGTTCTACCTCAAAAAACTGTACAATTTTTGCGTAAACAAGCACATCATTAACTTATTCTACAGTGCAACAATTGGAAGCCTACTTAATTTCAGTATTACCTGCTGGTTTGGGAATTCAACGTCTGATATTAAAAACCGCATAAACCGACTAATCAAGAAAGCTAGGAACATAACACAAACTAAACATCCTTCACTTGAAGAACTATTTGAAGAAAGATGTTTTTGTAAAACTAAACACATTTTGGATGATACATCCCACCCTCTTCATCACAAATACTTAGGATCGGGCCGTTCGGGATAAATTCTTTCCATCAGGGCGAGGACTGAAAGATATAAAAATTCTTTTGTACCCCAATCTGTATGGATTTACCGGCGTGCTCCCTCTGAAGTCACACATCTTCATGAGAACTAAAAAGTCCCCGATTTGGCTAAGACTACTCACTGAATGGCTGTTTGAGATAATTTATTATAAATGTCTTGTCTTCAAATTGTTTTTTTATATGCTGAAAATGTATAATGCAATCACAAACCATTTCCATTTATTTGGATCAATAAAAGAATCTTATCTTAAAATGATTTTTTTTCCTTTTCATAATCAGTTGTTTTAATTTAATGACTTGTATGAGTTTGTGTGGACTCAAAAATGTTAACATCAATTGCATATAATTATTTAAGGTCTGATTGTACAGTAAATTATTAAAAGAAAATATTTTTTAGTCTTAGTGAATTTTAAATCAAGCTTAATGTGTTGATAGTAATACCACATTACCTTAATCTTCCTATAGGTGAGTAAATTAACTTTGTTAAATTTTTCAGCGTCATTCAGGTGGCATCGGCCCTGATGATGACATAGCCTACTATGGATTCCTGAATGCTATTGAAGAAGTTTTGCTGCCATCACTTTCACTCCTGCCCAGTAATTGTTCTATGGCTGAAGAACTCTGGAGCCTTCTTAGACTTTATCCATATGAGATTAGGTTAGAATTCCTAAATTGAAACAGTTAAGAATTTTAAATATACATTTGCTTTAACTGTATTCATGTTTCTATTTTAGGGCAATGTGAAATTACTTTAATAAATGTGTGTTTGTTTAGGTATAGACTATATGGCACATGGAAAAATGAATCTTACCTCAGCTATCCTATTCTTATACGAGCTCGTGCTGATTGCATTGATCGGGCCAAGTATATTATGAAGTGAGTATGATAAATATTAGTTACTTTATTACTGACCTCTTTGTCAAAGTATATTAAATTTTTCAAAAACTTGATACAATCATTTCCAATTTCGGGATAATATTTTATACTTATCTGACTTCTAGGCGCCTCTCAAAAGAAACAGTGAAACCTTCTGGTAGGCAGCTTGGAAAGCTCAGCCACAACAATCCTGGCATTGTCTTTGAATATGTAAGTGAACATTTACCTAGCGTGTACAAAAAAAAAATAAGCTAATAAGCTAACTGATTTCTCTTTTGGATAAGTCAATGAAGAAAAAAAGTACTTTGTCCCATTCTTAAATTTAAAATCTATGATGATTAAACCCATATTTAAGTTATGACCTGTGAAAAACACTTCACCCGTCTATTGAATAAGAAATTAAAATTAATTCTATGTCTTTTTATCTGTAGGTTCTGAATCAGATACAGAGATATGACAACTTGATTGGTCCTGTTGTTGACTCCTTCAAGTATTTGACAACTATTTCATATGATATGTTGACTTGTATCTTTTACAATGTGCAATATTTAAAATTGTCATAGCTTTTGAGAAAAGATCAGCAAATAATTATTGTTTGTTGATGTTTTATAAAAATGTACTTATCATTAGCCTGAATACACATTTATCATAAAATCTTCACCATTAACCTTACAAATAATATAGTTTGCATCATTGAGGCTATTGCTAATCCTGAAAAAGACCGAATGAAAACTGACAATATGAACATATCTCTCTGGTTGCAAAGTGAGTTTTTTCCCCTTCTGTTTTCTAAATTAATTCCTTAATTTCAATTGTTCAAAGAAATTATTTCAATTTGATACAAATTAAATGGCATGAAGGTAAATTACCTTGATGTTTTAAATCTAAGGTTAAATGTAAAAATAAATATAGGTTATAATTTCTATGTTATTATTAGTTTATTTTCTCCATAAATTTATATCATCAGGTTTGGCTAACTTTGCTGGAGCTATATGTCGTAAATATCAGGTAGAGCTGACAGGAATCTTGCAGTATGTGGCCAACCAACTCAAAGCTGGCAAAAGGTGTTTATTTTTGTTTCTCTTAAGAATTTTCAAGTATTGTCAGTTTAATTTTTTTTTAAACATTGAGTTTTAACTGACATATTCTGCTTGATATGAATACTCAAAATCACAAACTGTTATATATAATGATTCATAACAAAGGGTGGCCAACCAATTCTAAATTTCATTTTTTAACTTAAACCTATGTTGACTTTATTGTTAGGTAATTTTTTTTTTTATTATAAGATAAAATCATTTTTAATCCTTACAAATATACAACTAAACATAAAGGCTGATTAAGTTATAGTGATAATAATTACTTATAGATATATGTTTTATTTATTTTTATTTTTTTTATCAAGTATTGATTTGCTCCTGTTGAGAGAGGTCGTCCAGAAGATGGCTGGTATTGAAATATCTGAAGAAGTAACAGATGATCAATTGGAAGCAATGGCTGGAGGGGAACTTGTAAGACAAGAGGTACAGGGAAATAGTTTTTCCCCAAATAATTTCTAAAAAAATTAACTGTTATTGTGATCTGTTACTGAGCAGAATTGACTCCTTGTTTTCATAATAACCACAAGAAATTTTTGTTCTCAGCATAATTCATTTCTTGTTTCACAATTATTCTTATTATGCAAGTGATATTTTAATTTAGAGTTTTAAGATAACGAATATATATCAATATTTTTTGGGTCATTTTTAAATAATAAACATTGGTTTTAAAACTTGTCATTTAACTTTTGTAGGGAAGCAACTTTTCTCAAGTCCGTAATACCAAAAAATCATCAACTCGTCTGAAAGACACATTGCTAGAGCATGACCTTGCTTTGTCTTTATGCTTGCTTATGTCTCAGCAAAGAGACAGTACAGTATTTGCAGAAGATGCAAACAAACATTTGAAACTGGTTGGCAAGCTATATGACCAGGTTAGTGTTGGAAGTTATGTATGTCACTAGAGCTTCCCAGTTGGCACCAAGAATTCACATTAAAAATGTAATAAATTTGAAATATGCAAAAAAAGCTTCTGAAAATCTTTCAATTATTTTCAAATAAATCTTGAACTTCCACATATATTTATGTATGTCAATGGTTCGGTGAAATGATTGTTGAAGAAATTGACTATTATTAATCTACTGACCAATATATGTCAAAAAATAATTAATTATATCTTATTATGTTGAGTAATTAAATTATTGTTTTCTGAACATGGTAATTAGTAATCATTGGCTTGTAAAGAAAATTAACCTCATTAGATTCTCATATTAAAATTTACAACTCATCTATTTTCAGTGTCAGGACACACTGGTACAGTTTGGCAGTTTTCTATCAATGCAACTGAGTACAGAAGAATTTGTGAAAAGACTGCCTCCTATAGATGTTCTGTTGTCTACTTACCATATACCCCATTCTGCTGCCTTTTTCCTCTCTAGACCTCTCTATGCACATGCCATTAATGTAAGTTCTTTGTAATATACTTACAGTTCAATCTCCCAAAATGTTGGTTCTGTCAAAGGACATGGTTCAATTATGTATTGAAATTCTTAACAATTTTTTATCAACATAAATTCATACATGCCCTATATTGCTGTGTATAATGTGCAATATTTTTGGTAAAAAAATGCTATCTAAAAGTAGCTATTTTTATTGTACATGCGTAAAAGATATATATTAATGCCTATGCAACCATATCTTGGCCTACTTACTTTCTGCGACCAAGTGCGCTAACACAAGTATTGTAAGCAGGGCCTCGTATGTGACCAGTATATATTATAATTTTGTTTAAAATTGACATTTTTATTTAAAATAAATTTCCTCTGTTCATATTGTATTATTATGGACTAGTTTAAATAGGTTGCATTATTCATGGACATGGCATTTTAGTTATTTTTTCAAGGAAAAGTTAGGGGTTTGCATTATATGTGGATCACAAAATATTCTGAAATACATGTTAATCATCCAATACTTTTCTCTATAGGTGAGATATGATGAATTAAAGAAGCAAGAAAAGGACAAAGACAAGAAGGGCAACAATAAAGTAGGTTCCTGGGGAAAAAAAAAAATTTTTAGGAAACATTTTGATATTTTTTGACAATTATGAATAATTGTTTTTAATTGTTGATAATTAATGCATTGTCACAGTATAGTTTCCAGACTTTTAACATGTTTTAAAATATTTAATCTAGGCTGATTTAATATTATGTTGATCCCTCATATGGAATATAAGGCCAGCTACTGACAACATTGTTAGGGATCGGTACAAGTGCCAAAGATCATATTTGTACATGTTTGAACAGATTGACTTAATAATATTTGTCACCTGAATTCTTATTAACTTAACTTAACAAAGGAATGGTGAGTGGCTGAATATTCCTAAATTAAGTATTTATCAGAGGGTTGGAATGGAATAAAACTTACGCACATAAAAAGACATTAGCTCAAAGTGTAAACACTTAGGTGAAGCTTTATTGAATGCAAATCAAATTTTTAGCACTTTTGAGTCTTTGAACTATATCACATAATGTACAGTAGTAATAGTGCAATATAATAATGAAGAATAAGGGATGGGCATTTTGTCATAGCATTAAAAATATATGAATTATGATGTGTGGATAGTAAACTGTTGTAAATATCAACAACCTTAATAATTTTTCAGTTTTATTGACTTGTGCTTAGGTCTGTAAGTCACTGGTGCATTAAGCTCATTTAAGCAGGTAGCAACTGAGTTACCCACTCATATTACTTCATGGTTTGTCTCTAAAGAGAAGTCATTGTCTTAATTCTGCTTGTCAATGTATTTTCCTTACAATTTCTTTCTGGTTAACTTTTAGATTACAATAACCCAGATTTTAAATGTCTAAAATTCCCCATTGATACTTGTTTTAGTGTGTTGAGACATGGCAGAGTTGTTTATTATTATACAATTGTTTACTAAAACTGTCACCAAGGCGATGGTCCATCTTAACAATACTCCTCTTTTAAATGTGATTTCTATTTACCTGTCTTGCTAGTTAGATATTTTGAGTTTCTTTAGTTTAGTAATCAGAGTTTGATGTACGACACGTCCATGAAACACACATAATTTTAACCAAATACTTCTTCTTTGTACATATATCTTGTATTTAATTTTTATCTAGGCAACTTGTTATATCAATGCTTCCAAAGAAGTGATGGGACCAATTGTTGAAGCCATCAAGCCAGTTTTCTCATCTAAAATATGGGATGATCTCACGTGAGTTCATCTATGTAATTGATTTATATGTACTTAAATTTCAAGTTTTTAAATTTATAATTGAGTAGACTATTCAGATACAGTTTTGGTAATAAAAGTTCTTTTATTTCATTAAACCAGGCCACAGTTCTATATCACCTTCTGGTCATTATCTATGTATGACCTGTATGTCCCCACAACAGCTTATGAAAAACAGATTGCTCTACAAGAGAGTCAAATCAGTGCCGTTGAGGCCAACAGAGATATGGTTTGTTTTGAATTTATATTTGTGCACATTTGCTTTAACATCTTAAATTAGTTACTCATATTAATGAATGTCCCCTGCAAAATTAAGATCCAAAATCCTTACAAAATTCTGAGTTACAATGTTTAAACGGCCTTTTTATTAATTTTTCAGCCAGCAAGTAAAAAACGAAAGGAACAAGAGCGTTGCAAAATATTGATAGATAAATTGAAGGATGAAGCAAAAAAACAAACAGAGCATGTTCAGAGGGTGACAGAACGACTAGAAAAGGAAAAAGAGCTTTGGTTTCCCACTGGTAGATCATCTTTTAAAAGTTTTAGTTTTCGATGTTTTATCTCAAATATCTCTACTTTTAAAGTAACCTCTAATTTATTAATTGTATCTCAGACACAATTTTGTGCTTTGGGGACATTTTAGTAAGATAAATGGAAAAAGAATGAACGAAACTTATGTGATCCACTAACATGTACTTAAAAAAAACTGTGATAAGCATATCTTTTAAATTGTATTATGGATTGCTTACTATTGATATTGTTTATCTACACCAGCGGTTCTCAACCTGTGGGTCGCAATCCCTATGGGGGTCAAATGACCCTTTTACAGGGGGCCACGTAAGACCATCCGAAAACATATATACTCTATGAAGAAGCAAAAAAAATAATTTTGTGTTTGGGGGTCGCCAAAACTTGAGGAACTGTATCAAGGGGTCGCGGCAGGAAGGTTGAGAACCACTAATCTACACATTTAGAAAAATGTATATTTGAGAAGAACATTTTAAAAAAATTGGGGGGCAGAATTATTAATGACTTATTTCCTAATATGACATTGCAGGAACATTGAAATCTGAGATGACAACCAACCTGCTTCAATATTGCTTGTTTCCTCGCTGTTGCTTTACTGCAAGTGATGCTGTTTACTGTGGCCATTTTATTCAAGTTCTCCACAACCTTAAGACTCCAAACTTTTCTACTCTTATCACCTATGACAGAGTAAGAAAATTCAGAATTTTATATAATTCTTGTTTTACCTAATGACTCTGTTTATTTGAAATTTTGGAATGTATATTATTTTTTAAAAAAATGTTTAAGTATTATAATTATTTTATATTTTTAATAAATACAGGTATTTAATGACATAACATACACAGTGACAAGCTGTACAGAAAATGAAGCTCGGCGATATGGTAGATTCTTGTGTAGTGCCCTGGAGACCATCATGAGATGGCATAGCAGCCCCGCCATATATGAAAAGGTCAGTGTAAATTATTTGTTGTTGGATTTTAAAAACAATGTTTTAGTCCATTGACTTGATTCTTACTGAGGGTTTCTGCTGCTTTGTCTGTCCATGGGTGCACAGATTGCTAAGGCCAGTCCTTACCAAAGAAATTTTGTTTGCAGTAGGAGCAAGGGAGGGACTGGCGATCTCTGGGTGCATTAGGGGCACTGGCTTTTATGGATTGCCTCTCGAGTTCTGGAGCAGCTGATCTGTTGGATTCATGAAGCTTTGTGTATTGAAGACTGCCAAGACATTCGATACTTGTTTGTTCCCACAAGTCTGGGTTGATGCAGAGCACTTTTAGTTAGGCTTTTAAGATGACTTTTATTATGATGTTTCTTCTAACTTTCAACAAGCCTCTTTTGCCATGCTGAAGCTCACCATAAAATATTCTCATCAAGTGGAATTTGTCATTGATGTTAATTTTTTTTTTACTTCAGGAATGCTATAACTACCCAGGATTTCTAACAGTGTTTAGAAAAGGCACGGACCAGAATAATAAAATGGACAGGCTAGATTACGAGAACTATAGGCATGTTTGCCATAAGTGGCACTTTAGGCTAACAAAGGTAAACAAATTAATTATAGCTGGACTCAGGGTTCCCGCGGCCTCCTGAAATTCCAGGAGCTCCTGGAAATCTCCTGGAATTTGAAAAAAATGATAAAATCCTGGAAAACTCCTTAAATTCTAAAATTTTCTCCTTAAATGTCCTGAAATTTTTGTTTCCACAGAGGGTAAAAAAAAACTTGGTCGCAATAGTTATTTTATTAATTTTTGTTCTATTCAAGTGGTAGACTATTCTATTTTTAGCCCTTCTGTCATCAATACGAAATTTCCATAATAATTCTAGTGGTTTCCCCTTACCCCCGCATGCGCTTTACGAGTTTCGGATATGATATGGCGTACCGTAATGCTTAGATATAGCAGAATTTTTTTCGCTCTGTTCAATTCGCCGTTCAACGGATTTTTTGGGTAAGTATTGTGTAAAATACAGTAAATAGATATTTAAATGTGGTTTTTTAAAAATATTTTGGTTACTATTATGAATAGAAATCTACTGGCCCGATCGCTGTATAAATGACTAAACTTAGTCTATTTTTTTTTTTTAAGTTGATTTTAGATAGTTTTACACTGTAGATAAACTGGAGAAAGCGTTTTAGTTTTAGGGTCATTTTTCTAAGTTTTCAAAAAAGTTAATGAACTTACTTATCCTTACAGTATTCAAAAGTAGTATTAAAGTTTAAGGAATAAAATTGATACGTGAATAAAGTTTAAGTCTTTATCTGATGAATTATCTTACTTTTATGTCTTTAACACGAGTTTGAAAAGTATCAGTATCAGCGTTTTCGCGAGTATAGTGTTTTAAACGCTCGCGGCTGTTTGTTATCTTATGAGTTTGGTAAATAAACTTAGTTAGCCTTAGAGTGAGGTCTACTCCAGCCCCATGACCAAAGATGAAGAATTTGGGTAATTTAAAAATATTAACAAGCGGTAGTAGGCCTTTATTTATAACAATAATTTTGACACATATTTTTTAAACAGAGTTTATAGTGCTAGGCCTGTTTTAAAGTTAATTTTAAATAGTTCTTCTAGATAGGAAGATAGGCTACTAAATAAAATGTTATGTCATAATGTTATTTTTGCATAGCATAGTTTAGGATGACCTCGGAACTTCATTTAAAAGTTATTAAAACTAGCTGATGCACCCATTGAGCCTCATATAACTTTACATAGTTAGTCCTCATAGTTATTTATACAGGTACTTAAAAATTAATTAATGCACCCCTGTGCTCTAGGTATAATTTGCGGTATTATACTATACGTTTATAACCACAGTTGTGTGGTTTGGGGAAAGGGGGGTGGGTTACTTTAGAGATTTAAATAAAGTTGTTTCTTTGTGATTGACCCATTCACTTGTTTAAAATCCGGTCTAAGCCATTACATAGGTATATGTCTATCTTAGGTTCTCTTCTGCCTATGTATTATTAGTTAAGTACCAGTATAATATAGTCTATATTATGTTAACCTTATTGTAGACCTAATATGATAATAATTTAATTCTATTTTGTTTCACTATTCAGGGTCTAGGGTAAATAAAATAATGCACAACAGTTCATTTGAAGACTGATGGTTAAGATCAGATAGCAATCCTGGTTGAACAAGCCATCACTGCTACTCTATACTGAGTCAACCCAAGCTAGAGGACTGGAGTTCAATCCCCAGAAAATGCCCAGACAAGCAAAAATATCATGTCGGGTATGCCTTGAATGGCAACTTATATTAGAGAAGGAAACTATGAAATCGAACCCAGTGATGGAGTCCCGTAGACGTTATGGCAGTGACATAATGAAAATTGTGACAAAATCCTAAGACGTAGAAAGCATAAAGAGCATACTGAAACATACACACTCACTGCTGGTAATCTACTGCAGCCTGGTCTATATCCAGTCGTCTTGACTAATCTTGCCATTGAATCAAATAGGATGAGAGAGCGGGTCTGAAGAATTGAGCAACTCTCCCTAAATTTAAACAAAATACAGCTCACATGAACGATACTGCTCAAGTCTTAGTGATCTTCATGTGTACAGGATGACAAACAAAATTGGAAATATTTATATCAAGTTTATTTGCAGGACAGTTCTCTGATGCCATGAAAATTAGGGGAAAATGATCAATAAACATCAATAATCTGAGAGTTCCTAGTTTTTTCACCTGCCCCAGGTGTCCACTTTTGCAACTTCTTAGTCAAGCTCCCAAGTTATTTGTATCTTCGCAAATAAATATTACTTGTGATTGAAATGGATTATTTTATAACTTTATTAGTTGTTTTTTGTTAAACATCAAGTACATCTTTTAAAAACCAAGTTACTCAATTGTGTCTGAGCTCGGGACCAAAGTGTCTTTGCCGGTATATCCTTAAATTTAAATCAAATAATTGCTATAGCATGAGCAATCCTTAGAGTAAGTACCGGTACTATATAAGTGCATTTATATCTTGTTATTACAAAAAAAATTGTATAAACGTATAGGATCTTTTCTTTTTTTTTTAAATGTCCTGGAATTTTGTATTTTCTCCTGGAATTTTATTTTAGATTTGGTGCAGGAATCCTGTGGACTAAATGTTACAAAAGTTCTAAATGGAAAACATCCAAATATAATTTAGAAAGTTTCAAAAATGGTTTTCTTTAAGTGATTGACACATTAAGAGGAGGGAAATTTGTGAATAGAAAATAATCTGCATACTTCTCCTTAAACTGTGCAATGGAAAAATCAGAACACAATCAAAGTGCTATTTCCCTTAAAGTTAAGAGTTTTATTATATGCAAGGGTTTTGTTGAAAACAAAGTTCTGAACAACTTTCAGAAGTGCTACTGTATGATGTTGGCATTCTTCTTCATAAAGAGGGAAGGATAAGAAATTTTAACAAAGTATTTCTTAGTGTGGTTTCTTCTTCATTTATTTTCCATGTATTTTTTAATATTTTAAATCTGGATAACAAACATTTTGTTCTACAGTCAGTTATAACCTGCTTGGAATCCAAAAATTACAGTCAGATCAGGAACTCTCTTATTGTTCTTACCAAGGTATGTATACAAAGACTGAAAACTTAAAAGCACTTGTTACTATCTGATTTCAAGTAATGAGAATTCAATTAGTTTTTTTACCAACAAAGCTTCAATTTTATAATGAAAGATATCTGCCCACAATGTTGTGTTTAATTTTTATTTTTTGCAGATTTTGCCACATTTTCCTCGCATGACCCAGATTGGAATGGCCATTGAGAGAAGAGTTGATAAACTGAGCAAAGAAGAAAAGGATGAAAGACCAGATATATATGCCTTGGCGGTTGGGTAAACATTTAAAAACTTTTGAGATCCAATATTTAGTGATCATAAAATTATATTTACACAAAAAATATCTATAAAAATAAGACCATGCTCATTATTATTATTTATAGTACCATATTATTAATGAACTATTTGAACAGGTACTCTGGACAGCTCAAGAGTAAAAAGGCAACATGGGTTCAAGAAACTGAGTTCCACATTAAAGAGGTTTGTACTTTTTTTAAATGAATTATTCTAATGCATTTTCATGGTCTGACCGAGTATAATAATATTTTTCTTCACTCATCCCTAAATGTGATCTTGTGTCCTTCACAGCCAAAGAAGCCAGCAACTGCAGCATCTCAGAATCCCACTAATCAACAGAGGCAGTCTGATGGAACAGCTGGAAGTACAGCTTCCAAAAAGGGAGAAATAGATGGTATTGGAAAATTAAAGTGCTCTGAGCAACAGCATATTCCAAACTAGCTGCATTGTGTCATCAAATTTATACCTTATTATAGTCGCAAAACTTATCACAAATGATTAATCTCTTGGGGGGAAAAACTCTAACTAGCTGTTGTTCTTGATATCAGACTTGAAAAGATCTCATTGTGCTATTGTTTTTATCAAGTTTCATGCTGCTGGCTAAAATTCAGTGCGTTTTTAAGGAGTTGATTCAAAGTCATAGAAACCACTGGGAAATATGATAAAGATAAGTTAAAATATCAACATGAAACTCTGTCATTGAGTTCAAATGCAACTTATAAGCTTTTTTGAAATGAACTTTTTTTCTTTTATTTACTTATCAAAATTATGTATTTATAATATTCCTTTGTTTGTTCCTTGCTACACCATTTTTTTTAGTTCTGCAACCAAAAGTTTTTGATGATTAGTAAATTATTTGTTTACTAATTTTCTAGTTTAATTGAAATAATAAGAGCTTGATATTTTTATTCAAGGTATGATAAAACATTTTGTGAAAAAAGAATTATTGAGTGTATTTTAAAAAATAACATTTAAATAATTATTTTTAAAACTCACTTTTTTGGTCTAGAAGAATGTACATATCAACCATATTTTTGCAGGAAGAATAAAAGATACAAAGCAAGATTTGTCTGGACGAGATGATAAAAAAGAAAGGGTACAGTCGGGTGAAGGGGACAAAAGAGAAAAGAAGGAAAGAACAGCTGAAAAGAAAGAAGCCAGAGAAAAGAAGGAATCAAAAATAAAATCCAACAATGCAACAGATAGTAATGGAATCATGTAAGTATTTTTTAATCCAATTTTTAACTATGTGAATTTGCTTAATAGTTGCTTTAATAGTTGTTATGTCTCAAGTGCAAGCTACTTCCCTTGATCATAGTGCTGATATTAATAATTGTTTTTAGTTAATACTGACATCTTTCTTGAAAATAAATGATTTTTTTTTTTAAATTATGGACAAAATCTGTTCCTTAAAAAGATTTTTGTATAAATCATATATGTACACCTACTGTGCTGCCAGAGTGGTTTTCTTGTCTTTGGTGTATTCTAAGTGTTAGGGTAAATATTTTATTGTTCTTTTTTTGTATTTAAGAAAACAAAATTTGTTCACAGAGTGAAGAAAGAAGTTAGCACCGATCAATACATGAGGCAAGCAACCCTAGACCTACCTGAAGATGCTACAAAACACAAAGATCAGAAAACTCTCAAGGAAGAGAAGCCTAAAAAAAGTGATCGCAAAGACAGAGAGGCCACTAAATTAGCCAAAGAAAAAGCCAAAGAGGAGAAGAGGGAAAGGAAAGAACGTGAAGCAACTGCTAAAGAAGAAGAGAGGCATGCCACCAGATTGAAAGATTATGAGGCAAGCATTGGAGGTCACATGTCATCGTCGTCATCATCTTCCCACCGTCGTAGTGCAGAACCTTCACCAAAACAGCTGGATGATAGAGGTGTGCTAATTTTGCATGAACATTTTATTTATTATTCCTTCAACCAATTAAATTGTGTCATTTTTCAATTTTGTATTTTTAATATTAAATAGATATGTCAAACACATTTAGGACCAAAAAAAGATATATACAGTGTTATCTACAAAAGGAAAATACTGACCAAAGAATATTAATGATTTAATCTTCAACAAATTTTGTGATTTAGATATATTCTGAACCTTTTATAAAAACTAATTCTACTTTTCAGAGTCCAAACGAAGAAGGCTGGAAGCTGGTGGTTCATCTCAGGTTAGTATAGAAGTGTAATGGAAGGTTTTAGTCCTGAGACAAGTCTTGGCACTGTCTACACTCAGACCTTGACGTGTGAATGGGACTCAAGATATGAGGACCCATCATCTAAGGTCAAGATTGTAAATAAAGCAAAGCAGGGAAGAATGAAAGAAAACGTTTGATTTTACTTGTAAAGTGAAATCTACAAGGATGCAGCCAAAACTTGCCGGGGGAATCAGTACTATTTGGATGGACGTGAAATGGAATTGGAAATTTTGACGGTCACAAGGCTTTGTTTCTTTAAAATAAGCTGTAAATTTAATATTTTAGATTGATCACACAAAGGATGTCAAAAGATGGAGATCTTCCCACAGAAAAGAATCACCTGTTTTTAAGATTTACCCCTGGCTCTTCTTTAAAAAAAAATCTCAAATGTGAAACACACCATTCCTAAGACCAGCCATCAGAACCAGATTTTCCGACAGGCTTGCCATGTATTTGAAACTACCCTTATCGTGTCTCTTTTATCTCTATTTGACCAGTCAAGCAGTGATAGATGTGAAGGATTCCAGGGCTACAATGATTAAGCTCACGAGTTTTTTTTTTATATGGAGCCTTATTAGTTCCAGATCTTTTAACAAGCTGACCCATGATGGAATAGATGATCAAAAGCACAGGAAAAAAGCATAAATCTCAGTGTGTTACCTACCATCTGTGAATTGGTGATCCCAGTTACCATCAAAGATGACGCTGAAAATGAAGAGATTTCTGTAAAAATTATTGTAGGCCTCAGTTACAGATGAGCATATTTATTTCCTACCTTCAAAAGAGTTTGCAACAAAGACGGAGCATTGAAAAGCATTGTTTAAATCATCAAATGTATGCAAAGATCAACGTTCTGATGTCACTTTAATGGCATAATAAGGTGTGAGAATGTGTTCAAAAATTTCAAGATCATTTCTAAATCAAGATCCAGATCCACTCTTTTTTAAAAATTTTGCTTCCAAGTGCCAAGCCTTTCATTGTCCAGCCATGGTCCACATTCTTCTTGGATGCAGTTTAACCTTACCAAACTGTATAATCCTAGGGTCAACAGGGAAGTCGACACATGACTTAACTTTCTGAAGTTAAATTTCATCAAATTTTAAAGCACAAAGCAGCTCTGTCCAGTCCAATCATTATATAAATACTATAGACATTCAATTTTTGAGACGCAATATCAAACACAGCACCTTGAGACTTCTACGATAATAGCATCTACCTATTCAAAAGGCTTCAACGTTTTGCTTAGTGTACAGTACTCCGTCCTGCATAGACGTTTCAGGAAGCTGCGTCACTCTTTACACTCATTCAGACTGCCTGCTCATCATCGTCAAGTCCATGAGGAAAAGGTCCCCTCAGCTGGCATCAACGAGATCCTTGAAATGGAAGCAATTTTTCACCACTCTCAGAGTAACCTAACCCTAGTCAGCATCTGCTGTCTGAAGGCATGTTACTTACAGCACCAAGATCTCACCAGTAGCCGCTTTTATGAACACTTTTAAAATACCATATGAAATAGCCTTCATGCAGAATACGATTTGGAGAAAAATGATGTCTAAATCCATATTTCTCTTCTGTCTAGAGAAAACTTCATGCTCTAAGCAGTAAGTTGCCTCAACTATCAATTAGTGGCCCATCACCAATGCACCACATTCCAACTTGTATTCCATCAATCACAGCCATTCAATATTCAGGCTATTTTACCAGCACCTACCAGAGGCAATCTTATCAAACACACAGTCTCTTTCTGTTTCTCTCTCTCTCTCTCTCCCTCCCTTTCTCTCTCTTTTTCTGATCAACCTTATACTTGTGTTTTGTTTCTTTTTCGAGCAAACAATCACATTTTGAAAGTCAGCTTAACTTTTCCAGTGTTAAAAACAAAATTTCAATGCAACATTGCCCCCCCACCCCCCCCTTTTTCCTTTGAGGCCTCCTGAGCTGTCACTGTAAAATGAAGCTCTCTCTGTTTCATCCACACACACACACATGAAAACATGTCAAGCTTCTCCCAACATTTCAGATGACTAAATGTTTACAATCATGATCGTTTTACTGAATTTTTTTTTAGTGACAGGTATCCTTGATTAAAAACAAAAGGCCTTTTAAACATCTGACATAACATCTTTGACAGAATTACACAACAAAATGTTTTGTGTTCAGTGTTTTAAAGCACTTGTGTGAAAGATGGACTTAATGTCAGCATTCAACTTTGAAACTGTGCATTTTTCATTTTCTCAAGGCATTTTTAAACTCTCACTTGTAGTTGTATTCAAATTAAGCTTTTCTGGGCTGACAAGAATTCTGTTTAGTCATATGAATCTAAACCTCTTCAGGAAATATAAGAATTATTTTTTTAATTGGTTTTGACAATCGGAGACACACTCCATTTTAAAGTTTATTCATACATCTATAGAGATAGTATGTATTTTTTTCAAAAAGTTTATAAAATTTGCTCCTGTGTAACATTCTGGATCTGTTTTTCTGGATGTGTCATTTAAATATTAGGCATCATGGCTTTCCAAGATCTGAAGTGAAATCTATCTCAGCCAGTCAGTTAATATTCTTGAGTAAAATGTATTTGCTTGCAACAAATGTGCTAATTTTTTTAAGCCCCTGTAAATATGTACATGTGTAAATAGGAGTGAAGAATCTCAAACTTCATGATGTCCATCTCAGTACATGTTTGACTGTGAAATTGAATTGGTAAATGCAGTTTATTACAATGGGGACAAAAAAGCAAAAGAGGCTTCCATACAACACTGCTGCCATTCATATTTTATGTAGCATTCAAGACATTTGTCAGTGTGCCAGTTTTAAAGTGAATTGTTTGGTCAGATAAAGTTCTTGTCACATATCTTGAGTTCACATTATTTTAGTCTGGTTATCTAGTCAACTAATTAAATTCTGAAAATAGTATAGTCAGTTATTATGTTAGGCGATATCTCCACTTCATTTGATTTTCATAAGCTACATGCTAGTGCATTAGAAGTTTTTGAAGCATTTCTTCAAAATGAAATGAAGAGATAATGCCTTGACCTCAATGGATAAAACTGGTCAAATTTAAAAGGAATGCAAATCTTTTAAAAAGCAATATAATTTTTTTGTATATTCCCAACTTAACATCACTCTGCCCTTAAATTTAAAAGAATTAAAATTGTGAAGATTTTTTTTTTTATTCTGACATTTTGTTATTGTATAGACCAATGTAACATTATTATTCTGTAACCAGTAATTAGCTAAGTTAATTACAGTTTTATTTGGATTTAGTTAATAACAAATTTTTTAAAATAACTTGAAACTTTATTAAAATATTACTGAAAATATTATCTGCAATCTGTACTTGTTTGAAGAAAATCGTTTCTTTCTAAATAATTTATAAATGTTTTAAAAGGTTTTCAGTACAAATGAAAATGTCATAGAGCTCTCTATTTATATTTAAAATGTAAAAATCTCAATAGGTTTTCAAGCCATCATGCCTTCAGAGCTTGTATATTAAAAAGGCATTTACTTTAAAGTTAAACCCCAAAACAACCAATAATGATTTTACATGTATGAATATAGGGATAAATATAGTTTAGTTACTGAACCCTCATTATTTTTTTACTGAGTAGAATTGATCTTGCAATTTTTTTGAAATTATAAAGTCATACGTGAAATTCACTTTGGTTTGTTAAAAAAATATAATTTTTTCACCAGGATTAGCGCAATAAAATTAATACAAATATTATTTGAATTATATATTACGGTACTCAAAACTACTGACAAAAGTTTCACATGAAATATTTTTCAAACTTCAAATAAAGCAAAGGCATTCGGACTTGGATTAACAGCCTTTTCATTTCTTCTCTTGTCTTCTCCCAAGTCAAATCTCTTTCTTGTGTAAGATTCTAAAGCTAGCCAGTATGTGGTTTAAGGACATCAGCCACCTAACTTTATCTTGTTCAATATGCCCTGTTAGTGATCTGCACAGAAAGTGCAAAATTGCAACCATAGGTTAAAATAAAATGTGTGTTAAAATTGGAATAAATAATTCTTCTTTTTTAAATTGTGGAAATTAAAAAAAGTTTTGTAAAGAAAGTAGAGATTACAGTAGGGCATGTTGAATGAGCTCTGACCAGGGATGGTTGGAGCAAAAAAAAAAAAAAAAAATTTGGAATAAATAATTCTTTTTTTTTAAATTGTGGAAATTAAAAAAAGTTTTGGAAAGAAAGTAGAGATTACAGTAGGGCATGTTGAATGAGCTCTGACCAGGGATGGTTGGAGCAAAAAAAAAAAAGGACTATAGGCTTCTAAACCAACGGCAGCTGCACCACCTACATCATCTCCATCTCCTTCTTTACCACCACAACTTCAACTGCTGCATGTCTTGTTGACATGTTCTTCAACAACCACACCAACTTACTTCTTGATTGCAGGAGTCACCGCTGGATGCTCGAAGCAAGAATAGAAAGGTGGGTAAAATTTTCTTTGTGAAATTCGTCTAACATTTTAAAAAAATTTTTAGAATAACAAAGGAGATAAAGCTTGTTAAGTTATAACAGACATGTTAAAAAAAACTTCCATATTATTTATTAAGTTATAGTTGTACAATTGTGAGATAATATGATCTATTGGCTCAACCATAGTTTAGTCAGCTTATACTGTGGAGGACAATATTATTTTGAGTCTCTTTTCCTAAAGATACAGATCTGACAGTATTTATCAATGTAAATGTAATCATTTTAAATTGATTATAGATGAATTCATAGTATTTTTTTAATGTTCAGAGTCCTAACAGTCTTGATGCCGATGAATTATTGGAATTGGAGCGTGACAAGGAGAGGAAGGAAAAGAAGAGGGTGAGTTATTCTCTGAAAGCATGAAGCATGACAAGATATCTCAACTCTTCTTACACATTGTTAAAAAGAAAAATTCATATCTTTATCAACTATAATATTGTTTTTTTATCTATATTTATGCCGTAATGTACATTTGAGTAACTTATCATGTACTTCTCAAGATAAATGTTATATTTGCTTGACACTCTTTAGTTTAATGTGGCATTTAAAAATAGTTATTAAAATCAATAGTGCTTGTTTTTCAGGACCATTCTGTGGAAACCTATGATGCTGATCTATCTAAGAGGAGAAAAAGTGATGACCATCATTCAGTATCAAGTGAGTTTACATGATTAAAATTAGTAATGATAATGTAATGCTCAAATGCTGAATAATCTGACTGGAGTCAGTTTTAAGTGTAAAATTACTAATGTATCAATGTCTGTTTTCTTTTAAAAATGAAAAAATATATTAAAAATTTTTTAAATAGTCACCATGTAAATCACATAAGGTCTTTTGAAAATCTGAAGCTTTTAAATGTGAGTTATATCTTTTGTTATAAAATTCGTTTCCAATGTATTGATAATTTTATGTTAAGGAAAATTGAATGGTGAACCAAATGGATCTTCAACAAAGGTATATATTGAAAAAGATTACAAGGATAAGACTTCCAAACAACTAAGTCATTCTTCAAGAAAGGTAAATCATCTTTCCTGAGGCATTATTTGTGTGCATTCAGCTTGTCAATACTTGATTTTAATTTTCTTCAAAATCTATTTTTACACATTTAAATAACTTTCCTTTGCCAAATAATAGAGTGATGAAACATTGCTATACTGTGATTATTGGGCTTCATGAAATAATGATAGTGTTACCCTAATATAATGCAGTGATGAAACGTTGCTATACTGTGATTATAATTGGCTTCATGAAATCGAATTGCGTTAATGGCAGTTACCATAATATAATGCAGTGATGAAACGTTGCTATACTGTGATTTATTCTATTGGGCTTCATGAAATCGAATTGCGTTAATGGCAGTGTTACCCTAATGCAGGGTTTTATAATAATGCTTGATTAGGTGCAAATAGCGTTTGTATTTCCTACCTCTAGTGCTTAAAATAAAACAAAATTTAATTTAAAATTTGGGAAGCATCATCATGAATGGCATTATCTGAATTTGCGTTATCGTGAGGAAAGTTATCAACTAATTATGCTTTTGTAGATGATATATAATTTTATGATCTGTTATTATTAATAATCCTATTATAATTTGGTTAAATTAATATGCATAAAAAATAAATGTTGATGAAACTGATAATTATTTATTTGCTTTTATAGGAACAGTTTGCTGATGCAGATGGATCTCCAAAGATGAAAATAAAAGAAAAAAGAGAAAAATCGTATCCTTTTTAACGGAACAATCACATTTGATTTGCTTGATTGCATGTAGTGATACTATAAGCTCCAGAATGGTAATAAGTAGCTATGGTATCATTTTGCAATAGTTTGTAAATGATTTTTCAAATTGGTTGACAGATAATGAAATATCCTTTAAGTAAAGAAAAAAATAAGTGTTCTTCTAAAAGTAACCCTCTTCAACAAAATACCTTTTTTTTTTTTGGTTGCTCCCTGAGCACAGTATCTCCTAATCTGACACCCCTTAAAAATGCTGGAACCCTGCTTTTAACCTGCATTAAACAAATAAAGGGGGAAAGGAGACATCCAAATTAAAAACTTAAATTACATAAAGGAATTGTTATAGTTGGTCTATTTTATGTCATTATTTCTCTCTGTTTATTTTTGACCCCCCCCCCCCCCTTCCCCTTTTCAATCGCAACACTTTCTTTATTTTCAAAAAAAAAAGAAAGAAAAAGCAAAAAATATACCTACACCAGTTTAAAATCTCTCATGTGTCTCCTATTTCTATGGGAAGATATTTTAAACTACATACTGTAGAAACATACATTGACAGTCTCTCTTTTGGGCTATCTGTCTTTGAGTGATTTTTATAATCTGTCTGCCTTTGGGTCATAGTTATAAACTTTCTGCCTTTGGGTAATTGTTATAAACTGGCATTAGTAACACATGTTGATTGTGTTTAGTTTTCTGCAAGAGAAGAGCTACTTTTTTGTAACTACTAAACACTTCAAATAATTAATCCTTATTTATTAAAAATAATTGTTTTATTTCTGTAATTGTTCCAGAATTATTTTTGAAAACATACTTCACTTATGCTAATCTTTCTATAAAAACAGTTTTAATTATAATAATACCCAATAAATTATGGATATTTTTGTATTTTTCTTAACTTGTTTTCTCAGATCATCCAAAAAGCAGAAGAAGTGATTCACAGTATTCTTGTAAATGCCAGACATATCTTAGTTTCAAGACGATTTTGTCTGTCTTATTTGTATTTGTTTTCAACATTTTATCACCATTGTTTAAAAATAAGTTTAGCATAGTTACTGCATATTACTTGAATATCCAGTTCTTATGCCAACAGTTTTGGACATGGATTATTTTAATTGACTCGGCAAGAGTGAGAGTGTAATTGTTTGTATATACAGGTACAGGAGAGTTGTAAGTAGAACAAATGAATACATATATAATTATTATGTATTATGTCCCATTGGGAGGTTTATGAAATGTATCATCAATAAATAAATATTTTCTGTTCTATACAAAAAATGGGTCAAGTATACTGTTACAATTCATGTGATGATATTAAAATTACATGTATTTCAACTGTCACAGGCAACTACCTTTAAATTGTTGGCATTATTTGGGGTTGCATTTTAAAAACCTTTATCAATTTGTTTTTTTTTTAAAATAAAACAAAACAAGTATCTCATTAGTTGAGACTTCATCTTAATTTCAATTATTTGTCTTTAGGCATGAAGAGAATTTCTAGTAAAAGGCAACTACAATAATTATACAAAATCAAAAGCATGTGAAAACTAAAATATTAAAGAAACACTTAAAAAATAAGTTTTTAAACAATACAGATTATTTTTAACTCCCACTGTTTTTTTTTAAATAGTGGGGCTGTACAGCATTTATGTGCTGACAAGTGGTCTATACCATATGTAAGAAATCATCACTTTACATATACATTTTTTTTTTCAGTCACTTGTATTTTTATAATGTAAGGCTGTAATTTCTTTGTATTGTTATCCTTCGCATTTTTATTTTATGTCAAAATTTGGTGTTTTGTTTAATGAGCTAAAGCTGTTGCCTTTCAGATTAATCTGCATCATTAAAAAGTTGTATATAAAATACAGTGTTAAACACCAAATATTGTTATATTTACTATTTGACTAAGCTTAACAGATCAGAAAAAAAAAGATCTGTTTTTGTTTTTATGTGAATAAATTTCATGAATGTCACAAAGAATAAATTTTCTGCTAACAATACTAACATGTTATTTGCTTCTTCATTGAATTTTCTGTTTTAATGAATTTCCGTTAGAATTTTTTTATTTAGTACATCTATTCTTAGGGCACAATTATCTGCAAAGCTATCTGCCAATGACTTAGATTAAATGATTTTATTAAAAAAAAACAGTTACCAGGTGGGTCCATACCAGGACAAGACATAACATACAACAAATCAAGGCACTTGATGGTACGCAACCTCTGATTGTGGCACAGCTATTTTAAAAAAAAGCCCTGACTATAAGCCGTCACTGCCCTGCGGCCATCTCCAACTTAGCTTCAAGTTCAAGTAAGCCTACAGGAGTTAACTTCGCAAGTTAAAAGGAGGGGTGGGAGGATCCATTGACTGGGAAACAGTTGATTTCCCATAAAAACTACTCATGTTGCCTAGGTTTTAAAATGAGTAAATACAATCCCATTGTTATAACCAAGTTGGAATTACTATTTCAACAATTTTTTATTAAGCTATCTATAAGTAAAAGCATTTAGTCATCTGAAGATGACAAACAGTAAAGAAGGATTGCAGCATGATCAAGCATTGGACGGCAACCGCTATAACAATCAACTGTTTTTTCCCTTTGTTGCAGAGCAACTATCATTTGCTAAACTAAAATAATGCGTGAAATGTTATACTTATTTTGAGGATCTTCATTACCGTTTAAGATTACGCGCTAAAAGAAACCAAAATCGTTATACAATTGATTTAATTTTTTCATAATTGAAACAGATTTTATGTCCTTATTTTCGTTTTTCATTTTAAATAGGTAGTCTGCAATTATAGGTAGCCTATATGAAGTACCGGGTATAAGGAAATATGTGAAACGAGGTATGGGAAAACCTAATAAATGATGTAAAAAAACAATGAACGTGTCAACTGGCAAGTGGACTTTTTTTAGGGGCGCCCAATAAATTGTTTAATGTAGTTCCACCCACCCAACCTGGCAGCAGTCCCTCCCTCTCCCCCCCCCCCCGCTAATGTCACATAATGATATATTAGTCTCTGTCTCACATCTCTGCTAACGCCAAAAGAAAGCGCATGGCATGGGCTTTTTTTAGGGGGGCCCAATAAATTGTTTAATGTATTTCCACCCCCCCCACCCGGCAGCAGGCCCCCCCCCCCCCCCCCCCCCCGCTAATGTCACATAATGATATATTAGTCTCTGTCTCACATCTCTGCTAACGCCAAAAGAAAGCGCATGGCAAAGAAAAGTAAAATCGACACAAATCCAAGTAAGACTCAAAGCAACTTGTTGCCTACGTTCGGGAAAGCTTTCAAGAAACCTTCTTATTCACCGTTAAAGATGGGATGCGGTATATAGCCTTGGTCATCTTCTATAAACTAAATAATGTACACAAATCTTTCGCAGAATTATTTGGGGACAAACAACAGACAGAAATTTGCGCAACATTTTTCCTTTAATTAAAAAAAAATCTCCATCGGTATGTAAAAATAATAGCTACAGAGCTGATAAAAACGATAACTAAGAATGAAGGCCTATATTTTGTCAATGCCAAACTAAAATTTATAAATATTATAGGCCCAATAATAATAACGTGTCAATGCTAAATATTATAGGCATAATAACTTATCACTTTTTTTTCTACTTAACTAGTGCTAGTACTCTATGAAAATTTCCTGTTTCAATGTTCGATTCGAGGCAGAGACAAAAGATTAATTTAATATACTCATTGTCATATTTTTTTAACGCTATCATGGCTTTGCTTTGTTAATTACAATTACGATAAGTGTTATTTCTTTAATTAAAAACTTAAAATAAGGAACAAACAGATTTTACCGTGCAAATAGCTATTAAAAAAATTAAAAAATGGCAGCCTTAATGGATGTCACGAAAATTCAACTGCACTCGAAAAAGCTATTGAAAAAGTTAAATAAAATACAGAAAAACCTTTTCATAAAAGAAAATATACGTGTATCAAGTGCAGCTACACGGGTAATAGGACATGAACATTTTTTATTTCTGAGATGGCACATCCCCACTAAACAGTAAACTTAACTTACTCTTACTTAGTAATTAAATTTAGTTAAATATTAGGAATTGGCTAGTCAGCCGCTATTCGTACCGGGAAAATAGTTAGAGGTTGGGTTTGACTGTTTATTAAAAAAAATATTAAAAATAATATTGTTGGGTTTGTAAGTCAATATTTGGTATCGATTAAAAGATAATTGAATGGACTATAACTATATGTTATGTTTGTAAACATACTTCTTCAGTCAGTTTAACTAACAAAAATAAACTACCACAAATGATAAAAATAAATGACATCCGAATAGCATTAACTTAAGGCTAAAAGTTACTAAAAGGGACCCGGGTCTTTATTAAAATGTATAAAAGGGCTTGCTGTAAATACAGACAATTGGTGCCATGATGTGACGTATCACGTGGCCGCCATCTTGGTTGCCGCGACCTGTGAACTTTTATAACTCACTGTCACTAAATCTAACCTGAACCCTAAATTATGTATCCCTAGCCCGAACCCAAAATGTATCCCTAAACCTAACCTGAACCCTAAATGTATCCCTAATGCCAATGGCACCAATTCTCTGCATTAGCCAGGGTATTCTATGAAACTAAGACTAAGTTGGGTTTTCATAGTTATGAAATATTTTGGGCTATTTCAGATTTAGCGACCCATGATGACTTTGTTTTGGATTCACTCCCTTAATTTTAAAAAAAATTTTTTGAGGGAAGGAAGCGAACGCAGGTTGTTGACTCTACTTCACCACTTGCTGAATATCTAGAGGGATACAATAAGGTTGCTATGTTCGCCATGTAATTAATGTACCAGCTGAAATTTCATTAAATTTTAACTTTGCTATTTTGGTTTCTCTCAATAAGTAGATAAAACAGCACTACTTTTTCTATCTTTCCCCTCCCCATTTTAGCAGACAGAGACGTGTGTTTGCACTCCTTTTTTATTATTTTTACATAGCTGCCATCTTAACCAAGATGGCGGCTGTGGAAAATGAGTTGCATGAAATCAACACTTACCATAAAAAAGTTTACTGAACATGCACTAAAACGGTATGTCTTATTTATACTATATTATATCTGATTGGCTCACAAAACGCTGTAAATTTATTAGGGTAAATTTACATTCTCTGTGCCACTCATTTCCCCATGTTTTTGCACTGCTAATATGGCCACCTTCTTTTTTGCCATGACAGCAGACATGTCATGGCAACACATTTGGGGGCTTTGTTTAAAAAATAGTAATGCAAAAACACATCTGCTAAAATGGGGAGGGAAGATAATGTGTTTTTTTAGCAATTGTGCTATCAAGGCAAATGAAAATAAGGAAAATGATGAGAAGGGTTATTTTTTAAAGAAAAAAAATATTAAAATAGAAATTTTTTAAATCTTTCATTGATAGAATCAAAGAACATTTAATAATGAATGAGAAAAAGTTAAAAATCAACACATTTTAAAGTTCAAAAACCTTCAAATCTAAAATCTACAACTCTACCTAATCTGAATGCTAAGTCATTATCTCTAACTCAAGCATAAAGTGGCCCCTAAATTTCGGGTTTATCTTAAAATATTCAAATAATGAAAACCCAACTTACAGTTTCATCGAATACACTTTTACACACTTTATAAATCGAAAGTTGGAAAAAAATTAATAGACATGTTTTATTTAAAAAAAAATAAAAAATTAGTGAGACATTTTGTCCACGGGGAATGTAGCAACTTTATTGTATCCCTCTAGATATGCAACAAGAAGTGTCAACGACCTGCTGTCGTGCCCTATCCTGAGTAATTTCAGCCGGTACATTAATTTTGTAGTGAAATTACAACTTTATTGTTTCCCTCTGGATAATCCCCCAGAAGTTTATGGTTGTTCACTTCTCTCAAGTGTCACTAAAACATATGTGCTACATTACACACTATGGTGAGAAAAGCGTAGAAATTAAGAAAGGAATAAAAAAATATTTTAAATTATTCAAAATAATGAAAACCCAACTTAAGTACAAGTTCCACCAAAAATAAAATCCAGAAGATGTTAGAAAAGACAAAATCCATTTTTCATAATGATCAGACAGGAAAAATAGCCTCGTTTTGAAAAATTATAACACTATGAAATATTAATTTTTAAAAGTATTCAATCAAAAACATTCTATCGGCATATTAAAATTTAAAAAAAAAAAAAAAGTTAATTCTAGTTCACTATTAATAACATCTTGGAAAATGGCATCGGTGGCTTGTTGAGCGCGAGCTCTTAATACCCCCCCCCCCTGCACACCTTCACACATGGGCCAAACGCCGGGTCTCCCTGCCGCCAGATCATGCCGAAGCACGCTGGGAACTTCCCCCCTGGCCTGGGGGACGTCTGGTCGACTGAAAACGCTGCGTTTAAAGCGTTCGTAGTCCACTCTCCCGAGGGTCAGGACGGCTTTGCTTCCACTCTGGGGGAAAGGTGTTGCGCTACCTCCCCCCACCATCGAGGGAGTCGTCCAGTCGGGATGAAAGCTAGGACTAAACGGTCCTCATAGGAGCGGCTTTCTCAGGACCACTTAGCTAAAATCATGGGTATTGGTTTTTACCGCCACCCAGACCTCATATCCATTAACGGCAACAAGTAATCATGTTATTGTGCTACTCCCATTGCGTTGGGAGTCATGCAAGTGGTTGGGGTTTTTAGCTTCGGGAGAACAAAGCCTCCCTACTAGTCTGGCAGTCCATGAAGAGGCAAACCCCATGTGACACCACCAAGTCGCCTCGGCGGTGCGGGTTCCTGACTTAGAATCATTCAGTCAGATTCCCCCAGCTAGTTCACTACTAAACGAGGGGAGTTCACTCATACACAGCAACACAGGGTGGTACCAAGTAACGTAAGTTGGCCCAAAACATATTTCAGTTTTGTCATGCTGTGGAGTAAATGAACTTGTCACTTACTGGGCAAGATGAATAACTTGAGTTGTGAACACACTTTTTATATCTAGTGACTAATTCCAGATCAGCCATAACTAATAAAATATTGTTTACTAACATACTCAGCAACAGACAGTTTTCATAAACAAAGGCTCCCTTTTAGAACTTTTAAGAATATTGTATCCACTAATCCAGCTTTGTTTTCAGACACTTATTATTCAAAATGGAGGACTGGGAAATGATGTTAAACAAAGTGAACTGATGCCATTATTTAAACAGTATGGAGAGGTAGAAGAGATCGTAATGTTACCAAGGAAACAATACAGTTTTGTATGTTATGCTGAAGTCAGCAGTGCAACACTAGCAATAAACAATCTAAACGGACATATGCTCAGAGCAGGAAAAGATCCCACCCAAAATGTCACATTGTATTTGCTATATGCTAAAGAAGGTAAACTGGTTTATAAATAATGATAAAATAGTTTGTTTATTAGCAGAATAAAGAAATGGCAAAAGTTTTTTTATATATGTGCAGCTAACACCTGTCTACCTACTGAGATTCATGAAATTTTAACGCTGAGTTGGTCATCTATCTATCCTTCAAAACTTTATGTGATAAATTTATTCTTCTGATTAGCATGTTGCTATTATTTTAAAAACAAAAATGCAAGCAAAAGTAATAAAATGCAACATTTGAGATTATTGCTGATCTATTTTAATATGATAAATTCATTAATTTAAGGCATAGCAGCATTCTACTCTCCTTATCAGTATCATCAAGGAGAGTAAAAATTGTTCTAAAAATTTTAAACAAATTGTTTCAACAGTGTTTATTTTACTTGCACAATTTTTCCCTATTTAGCTCCACCAAGTGTTGTGCCATCAAAGGAAATACCACCAGGGCTTATCATAATAGAAGACTTTGTTGATGAAGAGACAGAGAGAGCTTTATTAAAGTTAGTGAATGGTGAAACAGAAGCTAATAATAAAGGTAGACATGCTTTTAACTTTTTAATTTAAAATGTAAAAAAAAATTATTATTGTATGCAAAGTATTAATCCTATAAAAAAATTCCTGTATTTCTCATTATAATCACTTTTAAAAATGTGGTATTAAAAAAATAAAACCCAAGTCATTTTGCTATTGTTTAACCCTTTGTGCAAAACAAGGCAGTGATATTTGTTTAAATTTATAACACATCATAATCTAACTTTTAAAATCTCATTGTAGGAGGATGCTGTTTTGGATTTTTTTATAAATTTCCAAATTTTTTATTTATTTTTGTCAAGGAATTATGAAACATAGAAAGGTCCTTCATTATGGGTATGAATTCAAATACAGTATAAATGATGTGGATATCACTGATCCACTCCCTGTTGGAATACCTGAACAGTGCCATACATTTCTTAAAAAAGCCTTAAAGTTGGGGTTGACCAAACATTTTCCTGATCAGCTGACAGTGAATCAGTACAGCCCAGGGCAAGGTAAACTAAATTATGGAACCTTTTTAAATTCCATGCTGCTCTTACATTATGTGTACTTATGTACATTTAACCATGCTCAACTGTATGTTGTAAAATGTATAACAGATGAATGCTCAGTTGACATGCTTAGCTGTTAATACACATGCCTGAAAACTTAATACTTATATAAATACACTTCCCATTTTTCTGCCAGGAATTCCTCCACATGTTGATACTATTGATGCATTTGAAGATGGCATTTTGTCTCTCAGTCTTGGATCTCAAGTAAGCTGCTTCATATTTACAAACTGGGCTGAAAAATCCCTTTTCAATAACTGATTATTGTAAATGACCTTGCAACTTCGGTACAATTACTCCACATTATTCCATTCCTTAAAGGGATACGAGTCTCAATAATATAAAATTATTTTTTAACCCTATAAATGTCATAATGGCCATTAAACCCCTTTCTGTGGTGTCACAGCTGATATCGGCCGCTAGCAAAATCGTCATTTAAAATGCGAATGATTTAATGTTATATTGATTAAGGGGAAATAATTCTATATAAATGAGTTTGAATACTCGTTATGTATCTATGTTTGTTTATTTGCTTTTATCTGGGCTTTTTTTGTATGATTAATTGGGTGTGAACATTTTTTGACTGCCATAATGTCTGACACTGGAGAGAGTCAATCTCTATATTGCAAAATGAACACAAACTTTCTTTGTTGGATTTATTTCAAATGAATTAAATTAAAATAAAAAGCAATTATTTCAGATATATGCCACATGCAAATAATGACAGTATTTGCTCTAGCGGTGATGGTGACATAATAGTCAGATACTACAAATTTTAGACCCCTCAGCTTAGTCCTATTGTTACCAACCGATTTGTTGGGGAAAGGGTGGAAATCGAACAGAGAAGACTAAGATTGGATCCCAAAAACCTACCCTAAAGAGGTTCAAAGACATCTGTGTTTCTGTATACTCTGGAGTATTAATTAATAAATAAAATGGATTTAATAAATTCATTTCAAAATGAATTTTTGAACTCATTTCGTGCCTCCCTCACTTGTATTTTATATGACAGAAATTTGAAGGTAGTGAATGAAAAAAAATTCACTGATATTACAATTTTCTATATAAGTACCTATGACTTGAGAATATCTGAAAGAATATTGCGTGTAGTGTCTAAAAAACTTGATTTTATGATAGTTTGAACAATTTATAGAGTTGAATTCAGAAGTTATGTAGTAAAATTTTACTCACTCTGTAAAGGTATAATATGGAAAAAAAATTCATTTCATACCATAGGATACCTTGTCCAATGTACTTTCAGAAAATGTATACTTCTCTCTGAATTCGTTTAGTTTGGGATTTTGTCATTTTTGACAAGCATATGAAAAATGCTTAATTAGCTTGATGCTACAGAAAAATTCACTTGACAGTTATAGGGTTAATTAAAAAAATTTAGGCTTATTGTTCAAAAAAAGTTACCAGTTTAAAGTAATATTATTGTGTCCAAGGTTGTCATGGACTTCCGTCACCCTGAAGGCAAGCATCTCCAAGTTCTTTTACCTAGTCGCAGCCTCATTGTCATGACAGGAGACTCTAGATATGTCTGGTCACATGGTATAACACCGAGAAAATCTGATATTGTCACCACAGCTAGTGGTGATGGTGTGACACTGCTCACCAGGGAAACAAGGACATCATTCACATTTAGAAAAGTTATCCTCGATAGAGAAGAGCGCAAGTCCATCAGAGAGAACAGCGGAATCGATGCAAGAATGTTACCACAGAATGATGGTGAAGCCATTGAACTGGAAAGGCAACATGTCCACAAGGCAATTACTATTTGGCAATTAATTTATTTATGAAAAAATGCTTGTCTTTAAAACCCCAAACACTCATATGATTGATGATGGAAGATGCCATTCACTAAAAATATAACTAAATGAGTACAATTTAGAATTATGAAAGCATATTTAACTATATATGTTTTTAAATATGATATTTCCCTTTACTAACAACATTATTTAACAGCAATATTCACTCAGTTAATTTTTGAGATAAAAAATTAGCTTTTGGTAAGAAGTTTTATTAGAACTGAATAATTATAAGTAAAAAGGAATATATTACTCATTTACAATTTTAACTCTTACTAAAATTTAAATGATACAACTCCTTCATATTTTCAGGTGTATGATGACATAGCGGCACACTTCAGTGGCACACGCTATAAACCATGGCCTAGAGTTGTTGACTTTCTCTTGGAACAGCCTGCAATGTCCTTACTGGCTGATGTTGGATGTGGAAATGGAAAATGCCTTGGTGTCAATAAAAGTTTATTTGAGGTAGAAATACCAACTCCCATGACTTAAACTGAAAGATAAACATTTTCTTTCTACAATCAACATTTTTTTAAATGCTTGATTTTAGGTCTGGTGAAGCTGTATATTTGTACTTAACATTCAAGTTCAAAACATAGTTTTATTGGATATAATCAGCTTATTCCTAGATATAATATTCTTTATAAAAGCAAATTTCTATAATGAAAGAAAATATATTCAGACTATTTGTTTTAGTAGTTTAAATGACAGTAATGAATGTTGGTGACTGGGATAGAGTTAAAGATAAAATTAAATATACTTTAGTGTACTGGTATCAGTTACAAATTATTTGCTTCTATATAAATCATCATTTTCTGTTTATATGAAATGTTTTAAATCCTGATAAGCATAAGTGTTCACTGAATATTTTAACCAAATGTCAAATTAATCGAAATATGCAACATTTTTACAGATTGGAAGTGACTATAGTGGAAATCTTGCCAATATATGCCGAAGCAGGGGCTTTGAAACCTGTGTTGCTGATGTAACTTGTCTGCCATTCCGATCAGACATCTTTGATGTGGTCTTGTGTATAGCTGTTATTCATCATATGGCAACAAAGGTAGAAAAAACATCATTTTGAACATAGTATTTACCCTTTGAACCCAAGCTCTCGCTTCTTCAGTCTGTGTTAAAAAAAAAATCCATTGGCAGACTAATATATCAGTCTTACACCCTAAGTTGCATAAACAGTTACAAAATGTGGGCTTTCATCTTTCACAGCTGTCTGCTCAAGGTACTTGAAACAATAAATGTGTTGTACATGCGTTGAAATTTACCAAGCATGTGACTTTCCAAACTAGGCCTAATGAGACTGACCTATAAAAAGAAAGTCATGAACAAATATTGGTGCAAAAATTATTTAACTTACCTATGCCTAAATGAAGTGTGAGGATTCCGCACACTAAACAGGAACTTTGGCCATGAATTGAGAGTCAAAGTTATACTAAATAAATAAAAATCGGCTGCTATTCTAATCCAAGTACTGGTTTAAGTTTTCAAAGAATGTCAGTTTTGTGTGATATTCATCAGGAGCTTAGGGTTCAAAGGGTTGGCTATAATATTGTTAATACAAAAGTTATATTTTACTCACCATATGTTAAAAATCAGAATCAACAATAACAGAGAATAAGAAAATAAAGATGATTCCATAATAATCATATGGGTCATCTTATGCTTAAAAATGCTTTTACTTTTTGAATCTTTTAGGAGAGGCGACACAAAGCAGTAAGTGAGGTTGTTCGAATCTTAAGACCTGGTGGAAAAGCTCTTATTTATGTCTGGGCCATTGAACAGGAATGTAACAAAACAATTTCAAAATACATCAATCCTAAGAAACAAAGACAAAGTGCACAAGTTACAAAGGAAAATGAGAGAGAAAAAACAATCATAAAAGACAAGGATGAGCTTAACATGGAAACTGGTGTTTGTGTTGAAAAATTGTTGAATCTTTCTTCTGGCAATGATGAAAATTTTCAAGATGGTGAAGTTAAAACAACTGTCTCTGACCATAACAAGTACTCAAGGGTTCAGGACTTCAACATTGACAGCATTGCACAATCACCTGATGTAAACAAAGAACTTGAACTCACTCATTGTTGTGGTTTACATAGTAAACATGTGGAAGAAAAGTCATGTAGTAATGAAATCTGTGATTTGCAGACAACTGCCAAGACATTACATGTACATGTTAACAGAACTCAGTTCAAAGAGCAGGACATGCTGGTACCCTGGCAGTTGAAAAGTAAACAGGCAGAACATGTGGACAAGACTAAAGGTGACAGCAGTCATGACACAAGCCATGTTTTTCACAGATACTATCATGTGTTTAGGCAGGGTGAACTGGAAGCTGTTTCTAAAAAAGTGGCTCAGTGTGAAGTCATAAAAAGTTACTATGACCAGGGCAATTGGTGTGTTGTCCTAGAAAAGATGGGATCATATCTTAAGTGTTAAGCATTATTACTTGCTTTTAATGTATTACATTACCGTACATAAAACTGTGATTTAAAAACTATCATAATAAAATATTTGTAAATTTAAATTGTCTGGGTTCAGAATTTTAGAAATTATCAGTTGTCACATTTTAAGTGTTGTTCCGCACTGCGATAAAGCTTTCAAGTAGATTAATGAGACACAAACAATTTGTGTAAATAAAATAATATAGGTTCAGCTTTAATGATTATAAAGATTACAAATGTAAAATTTTTGGCAAATGCCTCATCAGTACAAGAAAAAAAACCCAAAGAACCCACATTCATATAATATAAGTATAAATTAAATGTACAAAATATATTTATATATATATCTATATATATATATATATACATACACATATATCCTACTTACAAATGAAAGAAAAAAAATAAGAGAGGGCGCAAGTCCCTTATAAAAAGCTGAAGTCCTTGAAATCAGTGAAATATTCTCTTCAATACCAGGCACAGAAACATTGCAAATCCCTCTACATACATTGGAGCCAGAATGATCCATACGTTGATTGTGAGCCCTTAGTTATATAAAAGAAGAAAATTGTGAATTTGGTTAATAAACGTGATAAAATTTATATGGAGAATAAATTAATAACAAGATTTGGTGTGTTGACTCCATACAGTATAAACCAAATTCACAATTGCTATAAACAGGATGATGAACAAATCAGTATTTTCCCTCACAGGAAATACATTATATTTAATTACATATTTACATGGAAATAATTCACTTTGAACACACATCTTTCCAGTTATCCTATAAGGTATTAACAATGCAGCCTCTTCAAGTTGGAGTATGCCATAGATGCCAACTTTTTAAATTTAAAAACTTGCCCAGTCTGAGGCAGATACAATAAATATACAAGCAAAAAAAAACAACCAATAAAACATTTAATTTTACAAGCAATGATCAATGATACTGTCATGCACCAGTAAAAACAATACAAAAATTTAAGCAAATTCTGCAATCTTAAATGAAGAAGATTTTGGATTAAAATAAAGGAAGCTGTGATGAATGCAAAATTCAACTATCATTTTAATTATTTTGATGTACAAGTTCTAGAGTATAATATAAAAGGAGTGTCTTGTAAATTAATTGCTACCGGTATGTGTATAATGATAAGTAGGGTTCTGGTATCTAATAAATAAGGCTTCAACTTGAGATAGGTGGTTTATTTTTAGTACTCTAATGTCAAGTTGTCCATCAACCATGTTATATTATGTCTCTTATTTAAGTCTAGCAGTCACAAGCTTTCCCCATGTTAGTGTTACCGGGTAGTGAAAAATATTTTTGCCATGAGTAAGAATTTTTTAAAAATAATTTGAAATCTTTTTTTTTTAGCTAGGCAAAAAAAAAAAAAACTTTTAAAATTTTCAAAACCATATAGCAAATTTGAATGGTGTCCCATTGGTTTCTATTTAATGTTAGTGTTACCGGGTAGTGAAAAATATTTTTGCCATGAGTAAGAATTTTTTAAAAATAATTTGAAATCTTTTTTTTTAGCTAGGCAAAAAAAAAAAAAACTTTTGAAATTCTCAAAACCATATAGCAAATTTGAATGGTGTCCCATTGGTTTCTATTTAATGTGTGACAGTATTTAAGAATAGCTTTTGTTCCAAGAATCAGATACATAAACGAATTTAAGTTTATAACAGACTTTGGTTAATGAAATTATTAATACAAAGTTATTAAGGCAAATTCATGTGTTTAAAAATATTTAACAAAAAGAAGAAAACAAGGCAAGGAAATTTATAATACCGGTACTAATGAGCTGAATGAACAACCAAAAAAAAAAAAAAATAAGAAAGCTATTTATAGTTAAAAGTGTGCCTGAATATGTTTGCTTGCTTTTAAAGATGAGCTAAGATTGAAAGTAAAAAAACAAGTAAAATTAAAATAATATTAGCAATTATTGACGTCAACTATTAAAACTTCAGTAGGGCGTAGATTTTTAATTGGGACAAGGGGTGCGTCTGATAACAAATAACTGCCTTGGAAAGGTTGCACCAAATAAGTTAGTGCGTAGAAAAAATATATTCTTAAATTATAGTATAATTTATAGTTACACAAGAATGGTGATTTATTGCAGTGTGTATTAACCTATTTCTTCTTGAGGCCCACTTCAACTTTTCATTTAGCTCTGTGGTCCCCATCCATGTTATTGATAATAATATTAAAAAATATTTTTATAACTACATAAAGTCGTTTTTAATAATTTTACATTGGCTTCAAGAAATATGCTGTTGTCCCCTGGAGAGCCATGTGAATCCTGCTGAGAAACACTGCTTTGATTAACCATACCACCCAATGCATAAGAGTCAGCTGACTGATGCCGATTGGAAAATAATGGGTTCATTTCTAATGGTGCTTGAAATAAAATCAAAGGTTACTTTGTCGCTGCAGGCATGTATTCTGTCATATATATTAATAACCGGTACCGGTAACAAGTTTGCTGATGGAAATATTCCAGTCTAGTTAATGCTTGTACAGGATGCATCTTGAATCTGAATTATGCGACAAGTGTCGGAATTGTCTGGTATTTGTACAAACATTTTACCTGCCATGGGTCTGTTAGGATAAATGACGTTTCCGTTAATTTATTCTTCCATTATTACATTAAAAAAAAAACATTCTTAAAAGTTAGTTAAGCAACCTCTGATGGTGGAGACCAAGAGAAATGGTTCAGGATTGCATCATGCACATTCCACAATTAAGGAGACTTCAAAATTTTACTTCAATAAATTTCTTTTCAAACTGACTAGTCGAACGTATCAGTGAAGATGGAAGAACACAACCTTGTCCAATCATCAAAGTTAAAAGAGAACAGCAAATTTAACAATTTTTCAGAGTAACCAATGACGGAATAAACAAAAGATTCAAGTATATAAATCATTAACTATAATCTAAAGAATGTTTAACAAATGGTTACTGAAGGATAAATTTCAAGTTTAAAAAAAAAAACTTAAAATATTAAGTAGACTTTCACAAGACTGAAAGGATAAAATATAAATAATTTCAAATGCCAAGTCACATTTGGAGATTATGAGAAAAATAAGAGGCTAGGATCATGAGAAATAATATGAGAATTTAATTCAATAACAAACAAAAATCAATAAAACATTATAGTTAGGCAGTTATAATAAATAACTTTAAATAAGTTTTAGAATTTCTTAGTCTTTTAAGGACTTTGACTGGTGTTCTGAAGGTGAATACTGTTAGAGATTGGTTCATCAGACAATGAGACATTAACATTAGGATGATGGTAGGTAATTGTGCCAATATTAAGGTTGTCTTGAAGAACAACAATAGTTTGTGCAAATGAGTGAGGCATCACTGTAGCATACTGCACTTGTGGCATCTCTGCCCTGTAGACGCAGCCAGTGTCATAACTCTGAGTATACTCAGCAGGAACAAACTGTTGTGTACTTTCAGTATGAGCAGATGCTAACTGTGCTGGGGCTGACATTGATGACATATGTTGTTCTGACAGAGTCTCCACCAAATGTGGTGCCACTGAAATAATATTCTGTAGTTGATTTGTGCTGTTTTGTATTGTAAACTGTGGCGATGGAAACTGTGATGATTCTAAGTGGCATTCATTTGAATTCACTGTTCTATGATTATTTATGGACTGAGTTTCATCTGATGCATTTACAGTTACAATTGATCTCAACTCATTGAATTGACGGTTCCCATACTGTTCTCTCAAGGATGTAGGATCTGAAAGAGGAGTGTACACAGGTTCCTCTTTAACATGGGAGGTTGCATCTCTACTTTCACTATTTGGTGCAAGGGAAACAGTTACAAATTGTTCTTCCTCAATGTGAAAGTCTGAGCCTTGAAATTCTTTGACTGGAAGTTCCTGTCCTATTTCATAATTTGGCTGATATGCTGAATTAGATTCTTGACTGCATTGCTCTTGGTGCTGTTCCACATGACCTGGACCTCTATGTTGGTCTGGAGATTTATTTGCATTGATTACACTCACAAAAAAATCATTCTTTTTCTGAATTTGACAGATAGTATCCTCTTTCCACATTTTAGGATCTTTTTTGTGGATCAAAATCATGTGTCTACGAAGAACAGATGAGTCAGCGAATGCTCTGCGGCACATACCACATTCATAGGGTTTTTCTCCAGCATGAATCCGCTCATGTCGTACCATTGCTTGTCTTTGACTGAAACCTTTACCACACATTGAACACACATAATCTTTTGTGGCTTTGTGAACTTTAGCATGAATAGCTAAGCCCGATGCTTGCTGAAATGATTTTTCACAAATATTACATGTAAACACTCTTTCATCCTTGTGCATAAACCTGTGCTCTTTCAATGATTTCACATAAGAGAATGTCTTTCCACACTCTTCACATGAGTAAGGCCGTATTCCCATATGAACATTAGCATGCTGGAGGTAAGAGCTTTTTTGGGAAAAGCTTTTACCACATGTAGGGCAAATGTAAGAACGTTTCATTCCCAAGTGATTCGATTTTATATGGTAAGCCAGGACATATTTTGTGCTGAAAGATTTAGAACAAAATTTACAAGAGAATTGAGGTTTTATGTAGCCTTCTGTATGAATCTTCTTATGATCAGTCAGCCTTTTCACATCCTTGTACATTTTGCCACATATATTACAACAATTTTCAGCTTTTGAATGGCATATCATATGACGGCGTAAATCTTTCCGGTATCCAAATTCTTTAAAGCAAATTTCACATGTAAATGTTTTTGTTAAGTGGATACGTCGTTTGTGCTCAACTAACTGCAAAAATTTGGATGTTTCATAAAGACATTGATCACACTCAAAACGGGAATCAGATAAATCTTCTTTCTCTTGGCTCCTTCTGCCTCTTTTTTTCTTTACATTTCCTACTTGTGTATCTGCCTTTTTCTCTGCTGATTTTTTAACATCTTTTTCCTTTTGTCTACATTTTTGTTTACCTTTTTCATTTAACATCTTTGAAGGTAGATTGCCATTAACAGTATAAATTGTATTTGTAGTTTCATTTGCAAAAGCAGATTTACATTTTTTCTTTGAGGCATTGGTGCTTTGATGAAATTTAACTGCAACATAATCTTTATTTGCTTCCTTGGACTTTCTAGTTTTGATATTGTTATTAGATGGCAGATTATCATCTTTCAAATTTAAATTATTATTTTTTGCTTTCAACTTTTGTCGTGCCGATTGTCTTTTATAAATTATTTCAGTATTGGATTTTCTCTTCTCAGTAGCTGGTTTACTGATATTCACAACTGTAGTTCCACTATCTCTGACATTTAGTGGTATCATGTTAATGTTGGTTTCTTTTGTGGCAATCTTTATACCATCTTTACTTTTTTGTTGTCTTTTCCTTAGGATAGATTCTTTCTTTTCTTGAGATGGCTTTATTAAATTATGAGATGTTCCAGTCATTGTTGACTCTTCTACAACTACATTTTCAATTTCTTCTTTCACTGTATTTTTTTTTTCAGGAGGCAGAGTCATTTTCTTTTTTTCCTGGACATAAGGATCATTGTCTTCATTTAAACTTTTTTTTTGAAATTTTTTAATAGTTTCTTTATTATAAACTTGACATAACACTTGTTCAATTTCTGTTATAGAAGGCTGATTAAACTTGCTTGTCCCTTCTGTCTCAACAATAACAATTGGTTCTGGGGGAGTTTGACCAGAATTTGAATATCTTTTTCTAGTCTTATCTCCGGTTTTACCTCTTGGATTTACATTAAAATACCATTTGTCATGTTTATTTTTATCAATAATTATATTTTCACCAGGACAAGCTGAAGCAGATAATGAAGACTCCACCTCTGGATTTTGTAATGTTGAATCTGAATATTGATGATCATCCTGGTAAATGTTATTGGAAGAGTTACTTTCATATAGACCTGCAACATCCAGTATTTTTGATTTCAATTTGTTTTTTAGTGAGGTAGGTTGCTTAGTCTCTATCGGCTCAGACCAATGATTATTTTCCTCTTCAAAATGAGTAAATGCTTGATTGAAGTCGTCTTCACTTGGTACCTCCCCCTTGGATATGGCACTGTGGAGAGTTGAAATCAAAGTCTTTAGGAAAGAGTCTATTTTTATAATTGTTTTCCAAGAACCTTTAATCGTAACTGGTCTTTCAAGAGATACGATTTCAACCTCTAGTTGAACAAAAAGCCTATGCAAGTAGGCTATTAATCCTTGGGGGTGAGGAAACGTATCAACATAATTATCAGCCACAACCACTGTTGCAAAAGAGAAAGGGGTAGCTAGTACACAAACATTCATGTTCGATTTGCGTCCTTAAACATAGATCAAAATAAACACAAGATATATGCTGGATAACGGTGAAAAAATCAAAATAATCTAAAAATTCTTTTTAGGCTTTGAAAATATTTGGAGTTGGTTCCCTTTAAAACTAAAAAAGTAGCTCCGCACATTGCAATTGTTTAAGAAGCGGGATATGACACCGACCTGGTTTGGAATGGGTTTTATTTATTAACGGCGGTCAAATGAGTTAAGAACCCTTGCCCGGGTAACCGTCCGTCGGTGCCAGGTTGTTATTGAAAAAAAAATACTGTGTTAGTGTTAATGTTACAACTCAAAGTTTTACTAATTTGAAATGGTGTAGTTTATTAAATTAAATTGTATTTATAGCTTGTACTATAATATGAAGACCAGGCATCAAGACGAACTCGTGCTAAAGAGCACACAGATTGAAAGTGAAAAAAATATGTTTTTTAAGAAAAATTCCTGTTCCTTTATTGAAATGGTGCAGAATCACGCCATCGACAGAAAACAGTGGACGCATGATTTCGTTGCTATTTTAAAATTATAATAAGAGATTATTATTGTTATTATTAGTAGTAGTAGTTTTAAATAGCGCGGTACCCCAGCTTAGGGCTGGGCTCACCACGCAGTACATACAATATGACAAACATAATCATGAGCTTAAAAATTAACATACATTGATTAAATAAATATAAAAAAACCAAATGTATATTCAATCCCCCCCCCCCCCCCNCAATTCCATAACTATTACATGTGAAGCCATGGACGGCACCCAACAGCATCGTTTATCGGTCAGCGGGGGGAATCAGTCAGGATAGTAGAGTTTAAAGAGATGTGTTTTGAGTGCAGTTTTGAAGGCTGTGAAGGTCGGTATATTGCAAATGTGTAGTGGAAAAGAATTCCATTGTTTGGGGGCACAGAAAGAGAAAGATCATTCACCGTATGTTTTTGTGCGATTCCTGGGGACAGAAAGAATATGCGCGTCTGCGGAGGAGCGAAGCTGTTGAAGGGGTGAACAGACAGAGAGAAGTTCGGTTAGATAGGAAAGGCATGAATTCGAGAAAAAGATGTGGCAGAGAACAGAGGTGTGTGCCAGGATGCGCCGGGAGGCAATCGGACGCTCTTCCCATGCTTTTTCAATAATGTAGCAAAAAGTTAAAAATAAATCCTCTAGAGCTTCAGAGCTGTTACAGTCTTATGACTAAAAAAAGCGTTTTTTTTGGGGGGGGGGGTCAATGAATTCAATGTTCTTTGCATATGACTGTAACAACCCTCCTTCCTACGACACTGGTTCATTGATGTGTCATTTATATTCTCAATATAATCATGTCATTCACATAGGTCTACAGCTTTAAAAAGAAAATGACCCCTTTTAAATTGCCATAAAAGATCTACAGACCTAAACTACAAACAATATTTAATCTTAAAAAAATGATATTATTATTATCTTTTTTTATTTTTCAAAATGCAAATAGTTCGCCTATCAATTTTTTTTCCACGTTCGTTCAATTTGTATAACGGTCTGTCACGGTGTAGATTCACCTTTTTGGACTGCATTATTTTGATATTCATTTGGTAATGAAGTAGGTGAAAGAAACGAGTTAAGAAAATGTAACTCAAGATTACTATTTAGTAACAATTAAAATGTTTGTATAACACTATCAACATAACCAGGTTGAGAGACACCTACATTTTCTTGCATCTTTTCCGTCGCTATATTGATGCAAAACTAAATTACCAAAATCATGTTGTGTGCTCCAAAACGCATTCCTTGATTTTGAAATTATCCAAAATTGTATGAGGAGAGGCTTTCACCCCTCCCCAGATCACCCCATTACCTTCAGCTCAACTCCCAGCCCCAACCGAATTAAAATGACCGAACTGGCACATTTGTACCTATAAAAACAAGACATTGGATGTTAGTAATATAATGATTTTCTGTAACGGACAAAAATACTATTCCCCTTTAATTTGGTTAAAATTTATTTTCAAAAAAAAAAAAAAAAAAAAAAAAAAAAGAA